TCGACAGCCGTCGCTCGTCAGCCACCGCTAGCCACTAAGGGCATGTGGGGCCAGCGACGCCAATCGACAACCGCCGCTGAGCAGGGGGGGTGAGCGACACCAATCGACGGCCGTCGCTCGTTAGCCACATCAACCAGCCACTGCCACCTCGCTGCGATACAATGTCAATACTCTCCTTACAGCCTGCAAGTCGCACGCACCAAAGAGAGATATCCAAATAGAGCGAATTATGCCATATCGACATCGTTACAGCCTATGATGACATGGCATTTCCTCTTGCATGGAATACCCCCAAGGCGGATTGTGACATGCATCCAAAGCTGCAACAAGGCCAATCATTCGCTCCCGAACACGTACTGGGAGTAATTCTCCAACCTGATTCGTCTCGAAACAGTCGAGGCTTAGTTCACAGATTAGCGACTACACCAACGCCCATCCATCTGTGCCGAGGCGATGTGAACTTGGACAAAGATCGACTCGGGCCCATCTTTTTGAACAGCTTTCAGAATGTTACCCGATTGAAGACCAATACACAAGCAAACGACACGAATTAACCAGAAACGATCCCAATCTGGAAACGTTTCCATCCATGCTGTTTTGTGATGCGGCGCGATATGGTAATGGCTAATCATGTGACAAAGTACCGCGGTACATGCACGGACACATGACGGTATTACTATGTCCCCCGCACTTGTCCTAGCCCCTGAAGACAGATATTCACAACGAACAGGCTGTAGAACTTACACCATTCTCCCGTCAGCTCTTGGACTGCGCTCCTCCTTTCTGTATCGCCGTATGAAAGAGTAATCGAGAACCTGCAAAGTCGCCTTGATATAACTTCTAGCATCCAGGAGTGCTACCAGGCACGCCATGGTAGATTTTACACAGCAGCCCTTTAAGGGTATATACGCAATCTGCGCCATTGGCTTCGAGATTTTTCGCCTTCCAGTATATCTAATTACATTTCTCCTTGGATTTGGTCGCCAGCACCCAAAATGGACTTTCCGCCAGGCCATCAGCATGCGCGTCTTTTCCTCGCTTCTCTTGCACGTTGCAACATTGCAAGTTGGAACACCAATTCCCCTGACGCCAGGAGCAGAAAAGGAGCGATTCATTCTTGTCAAACCTGCCAAGTCCGATGCTTACAAAGGACCGCTGAGGAGCAATAAGGATGTTGTGCCTGTGGAAATTGGCGCAACCTGGTATCCAGCGCCATTGACAACCGGTAGCGATAAGAGCAGAACAAAAGTCATCCTGCACACTCACGGAGGCGCATTTGTCCACGGCGACGGAAGAACGGCAGTAAGCGGCTTCATGGCAAAGTTGTTACTCAAATACACACCAGCAACACACATCTTCTGCCCACAATACCGACTCTCCACCCTCCCTGCCTCACCGACATCAAACCCCTTTCCAGCCGCACTCCAGGACGTTCTGACATCGTATCTCTATCTCCTCAACGACCTCAAGATCCCTCCAAAGAACATCATTCTCTCCGGCGACTCAGCAGGCGGAAACCTCACCATCGCCCTCCTCCGGTACATAACCGAATACGGCGCTGAACTCGGTCTCCCCGCTCCTTCTTCCGCGCTTCTCTGGTCTCCCTGGATCGACCCCTCAGATACATCTTGCTTGTACGTCCACAACAACAGAAACTACAAGACCGACTACCTATCCCCGCCCTTCACCAAATGGGGCACAAACGCGTACGCTGGTCTGGCAGGCGAGAAGTTGTTGTCGTCACCGTACATCTCGCACAAGTACAGCATGTTCCGTACTCCAGTACCCATGTGGGTCAATATCGGGGGCAGCGAGATATTGTACTTTGATGCTGTGGAGTGGGCGAAGAATATGAGGGAAGAAGGGAATGAGGTTGTGCTGGATGTTGAGGAGCACGTGCCGCATGATATTTTGTTGCTAGGGGGTGTTCTGGGATTCAAGGAGGAGGCGCATAATATGGCTAAGAGGGCGGGGGAGTGGCTGAAGGGGCAATAGACTGAGGAGGGTGGTGCGGGATGGGGAGTGCGATGAAGGGTGGGGTCTTGTTTCCGCTACGGATAGGTGATGGTATTAGGTTCATATTGCTTTCGAATGTCGTTGTAAGAGGAATAGTAGTTTGTTGTAGACTGGCTTTGAGCTGGGTAAATCACTACGACTTTTGGACCTAGAGTTATCACAATAGACCCGATGTTCATCATCCATCCATTCCTTGCCTATGGCCTGTAGTTATACCCCACTATGCTTTGTAACTGGTACCGGCATATGATACACCCCTACTTCAAAAACTCAAGCACAAGTTCATTGAACAGCTTTGGTTTCTCCCAGTAACACCAATGACCACCCCATTCCACCGTCACCCCCTTTGCACGGCCCTCAGCCTTTCCTCCATTAACCAACTCAACGACCTTCAGCGGGCCATCCGCAGGAAAACACCCACTCCTACTACTCGCAACCACCAGCACACACGTCTCACTCGCACTCGCCTGGCCAAAATTCTGCGCAATCGAATACCTCCAGTCATTCGCCGTATGGTCCGCCATCAACTTGCCATACCACCACCCATCCCCCTTGATCGCCTCTCCCAAAAAGAACGCCTCATCCTCCTTCCAAACCTGCGACTCGGGCGCTGGATCCCCAGACTGTGGATGCGACCTGTACCCCAGACACGCCGCAATGGTCCCCACATGCGCCTTTTCCGGCTCACTAATGAGCGTCTTTTGCATCGCCTGGAGCGCTTCCAGGGAATTGCATCCTCGGTTTCCAAACTGCGGGCCCCAGTCGTCGAGGTAGTTCTGCAAGGGCGCTTGGTCCACGAAGATCATGTGGGAAAAAGGGCGTGTAGTAAAGAGTTCGCTGTAGGACCATAGGATAGCTGCGCCGAGGCTCGTACCGATGGCTTTCACGGCCGCAGCATCGGCAAGGTTGAAGTGGTCGAGCAGGTTCTTGAGATCCAGGGCGAGGCGCGAGACGTGGTATCCGGCCTTGGGTTTGTCGGAGGAGCCGTGGCCGCGGAGATCGGGGATGATTACATGGTGGTGTTGGGAGAGGGCAGCGATGTTGCGCTGGAAGACTGCCCCGGAGCCTGTGAAGCCGTGGAGCTATCCAGACACGGTCAGGTGGGCGAGCAAAGGTGCAGTCTGGTGGCAGGGCGCGCTCACCAAGATCAGAGGGGGGCTTTTGCTTGATCCGTACGTGTCGTAATGGATTGTAATGCCGTCGTTGGCTTTGAATGTAGGCATCGTGACGGTCGAATTGATAACGGGGGCCGGAATAGAAAAGTGTCGCTTGACTGCAAGGTGGGGAGAGGGGCAGGGACTACTTCCTATATATGCGCTTTGTAAGCAATGTGTAATGCGATTGCGCATCACTTTGGTAGTTGAATTTCATTTTTCGCAATTACAATATTTTACATTGCCGTCGCTGTCGTGGTGTGACCATGGTAGTAGCATTTTGGTATTCACTGCAGAGTTTTACGGCGAATGGTCAGCGGCCATGTCATGTTGTATCGCAAAACATTAGTAGTACCTAGGGTCTTTTAGAGTCGACTAAATCGCAGTGATGCCTACGTTACCTTGGCTCATACAAGACGCAGGGAGGGCACGGTTTTGGGTTCTTTTCCAGTGAGGGGTACTGTAGTCGTTCTAAGGGAACAGATACAAGCCAGCGTCTAGTCGCTTAAGATTTGAAGCATTTTTGGATACTAGTGCAAATAAAAGGGTTGCCCATTGTAGTATCCAGGGCCAACTAATTTCCATACAGTGGTTTCCCCTACAAGCAGTGTCCGAAAACTGCCAAGCGACGGTGCAGATGCACATTCGATGCCTGACAGGGATAGGAAATTTCAGGGTCTGATTGCCGCAACTTCGATTGGGTTTGCGGGTGTGGCGTTGGCCGTCCGGTTCGCCATCGTAGCGGTATTCTTTGGCGCCTGCATAATGGACTAGACGACGAGTGAAGACCGGAAGTGGGGATTGAAGTGGTTAAAACAGAACAAGTAAACCGTCTAGGCTTTTACGGGTATCCCGTTTCCAAAACAGAAAAGTCGCCGCCGCTCTGGAATGCGGATGCACGGCATGCTCTAGCTAGTACACAGAACCCAGCTGCGAGCTACCAAATCTCACGGCAAGGACGCTTGATTCCATGAAACTACAATAGTACGCACGGCAAATCTCCGGTGGCAGAAAACCAGCTATAGCGAGTTGGTCTTTTTGTGGAGAACAGAAAATCGCCGCGAGGCAGTGCAATCAAGTGCGGCGATCCCCGCCTAATGCTGACACGACCAGAGCCCGCTTCATGGTAGACGCTGTCCATGCCTCTCTTAGCAGATGTTTGCCCAAGCTTTTCTTTTCCCTTTGACAATTTCACAAAGGGGAGCACAGTCGGGGTGAGTAGGGGACGAAGATGGGGAGGCGCCGCAGGCAGTTCAGTCTTAGCGCGAAAGTACGTGAAGGTCGATGGATTCGACGAAGCAGAGGATTCAACCATGAGCCTTCCAATGGATAGTCTTGTTGCCTTGATATATGTACATGTATGTGTACAAATACCGCAAGACAGCAAGCGGGCTACGCGCGACACCATGACTGTGGTACTACAGCCGGCCCCACGACGTCAACATGTGGAATGCATGACTACCCCACTGGCTACTCCCAGCAAACGACTCTCCAATAACCAGGCCTGCCAATAGGCCCGGGACGAGAGCGTGCTAGTCTGCAGCTCTACGACGTACTTATGCTTTCCGTGCGTAAGCGTGGGCAGTTGAGTTGTTGCTAACGACATGACCAGCTGAGATGCGCGAATTAATTCCCGCACCCTGCCTTTCACGATTGGTCCTCCTCTGCGGGCAACGGGCGAGGCTGTTTGCAGCCAAGAAACAAGGTCCGCCGGTGACTTTGGCCAAGCACGAAGGGCGGAAAGCTCGTCTAATGTTTGTTGATTTACGTGAATAAATTCCTCATGGAAGAATGTAGCCGTGCTTTTATGATCAGTAGTAGCGGGACTGCCGTCGTGTCTTGTCGCCTGTTTGGGCACCCCGACTATATATTCCTCCCCGCTTGAGTGGCTTTCTTTGCGTCCCCTCCCATTCTACGTCCGTCCAAACACAGTCTCCAAAGCGACGTTTCTGATTTCGAGCCGGGATTTCCTATCACACGGGCTGTCCCGTAGCTTATACGAGGCATTTTGCCTGTCCTAGTGTCGCTGCCAGCACTAATTCTGCTGCTGCCGTGCTACATCGAAATTCCCTCAACTGCTGCCCTGTATACTGCCGCCTCCGATTACGCGGCCGGTAGTTTACCATGTGGAAGCCTCCAATCAACTTCATCACACTGCACTGTAAGTTTTGCCTACTGCAACCTGCCCTATTGACCGTCCCGTCTGGCCGGGTCTAGAGACCCCACGCACTAACACAATCCAGATGCGTACATTTTGAGTTTTGGCATCCTGGCCATGATCATCGTATATCCTTACGGAAATATGAGGGCCATAGATGCGTATTACTTTGGAGTTAGCGCTTCCACTTCTTCGGGCCTGAATCCGTGAGTTCCCATTTACGCGCATAGACAGACACACATGCATTCATACTAGCGAAGCATTATAGGCTAACACTACTTCAGTTTTGACCTCAAAGCGCTCAAGACGTATCAGTAGGTCTGGTTCTACATCACACCTATCATCACTAATCTGGGCTTTATCAATATCGTTGTTGTCATTGTAAGGCTGCGATGGTTCAAGCAAAAACTTAAAGGAATTCGTAAGTTAGATCGGCATCATGCTCTCTCTGATCAAAACTTAGATACATATAGCTGCTGCACACAAAAGACCAAAGAGTTCTAGACATTCCGTCGATCCGCGGATTCAGGTCCTTGCTGATGTCTCTGAAAAGAGGGACCTCGAGGGAGGTCCCCCAGCCGGGTCTGTCTCCAAAATGAAGCCTGAAGTTTCTGGCAACCAGCAGAAAGATGAAACCCCGAACAATAATCATATTACATTTGCCCCTGATCCTCGCTACACCGTCAATGAGAAAGGCACATTGCACGTCGCAGGACCGCGTGAAGGCGAGAGTGGTATGTAGATTGCAACAAACTATTGCGATCGCACAACTGATAGGAACACAGCCCAGCCTTCAGTCCCAATGTCCGATGGTAGGTGTACACACACTGATGGCAATGATTTGTCGTTAACATTCGAATTGCAGATGAAGACGATGACCAGATCAAGCCCGTTGGAGAGTTCAACAACCGGTTACGTCGCAGGCTATCTGAGACAAGAAGTATAAGCAAAGCAACCTCGATAGACCGCGCCGTCTCATCCATATTCGTCCTTGGAAGCACACCTAGTGGTCGCCGTAGTGAAGAAAAATCGAGGCAGCCGTCAATCGATCTGACTTCGCTGAGTCCAGAAGAGTTGGGCGGTGTCGAGTACCGCGCTTTGCGCGTCCTCCTCAAAGTTGTTGTCGGTATGTACATGACTGGGAAGACGATGAAAATTTTCTTTACTAAAGATCCTAGGATACTTCTTCGGTCTGCAGTTATTTGGCGTTATTTGCTTGATACCTTGGATTCATCTTGCTCCTTTGAAGTACAAAGAGTACCTCGCCTCACAGGGTGTAGACAAGACATGGTGGTATGTAGGCGCTGGATTCACGATGATATGACATTGCATAATGACAGTCGATAGGGCCATCTACTCGTCGCAAACCATGATCAACAATTTGGGTCTCGCCCTCACCCCAGACAGCATGATCTCTTTTCGCGACGCAACTTGGCCTATGCTGATCATGTCTTTCCTCGCCTTCGCAGGCAACACATTTTATCCATGCTTCCTCCGCCTTGTCATCTGGATCATATGGAAAATCTCCCCGAACGATTCCTCAACCAAAGAGTCTTCGAGATTTCTGCTTGACCATCCGCGCCGGTGCTACACGCTGCTGTTTCCCAGCACTGCGACCTGGATCCTCGCCGCTATCCTCATATTTTTGAACTTTGTCGATACCCTCCTGATTGTCACTCTTGACCTGGATAATACCGAAGTCAACGTCCTCCCCGCCGGCCCCCGCATTCTCGCCGCCTTGTTTCAATCCGCTTCGTCGCGCCACACGGGCACTGCGACATTTAACCTCGCCAATGTTAACCCGGGCGTACAATTTAGTCTGCTGGTCATGATGTACATTTCCGTCTACCCCATTGCGATTGGTATTCGTATGAGTGAAAGCTACGAAGACAAGTCGGTGGGACTGTACGCAGCGGATGAGAGCCCCGATGATAATACCGACAGCAAAACTTATCTGCTCAATCATCTGCGCAACCAGTTGAGTTTCGACCTGTGGTATATTTTCATGGGCGTTTTTTGTATTTGCTGTTCTGAAAGCAAGAGAATCATGAGTCGTGAGGATTGGGTAAGTATCCCCTCTCGATTACGTAGCAACAAGAAAGATGCTAACTCAACATGCGCACCAACAGGCCTTTTCAGTTTTCTCGATATTTTTCGAAGTCGTCTCGGCATACGGAAACGTTGGGCTTTCCTTGGGGTACCCTACGAACCTTGCTTCGCTATCCGGTCAATTCAGCGTATTTGGCAAACTGGTCATTTGCGCTATGATGTTGCGTGGAAGACACAGGGGTCTGCCTTACGCACTCGATCGTGCTATCAATCTCCCAAATGACCTCGTCACCGAGGACGAGCAGGAGAGATATCGGGATTTTGACACCCAAGGAACTATCACAAACGACGGAACGGACAGAAAGGAAGAAGAGAAATTCGAAAAGGGCAAGAGGTTGATGAAAAGCCTGACACAGCAATTCAACTAGATCTTCTCTTCCCCACTGGGAAAAAAAAAAGAAAACAATATTTGTTTTCTTTCCATGTTGCATCTTGGATGTTAGATCGATTTAGACCCACGGACATAACGCTTGCATACCATCACGTAGAAATTCTGCAGAAGAACTCGTCACGACAAAGACCAAGAATTTAACAGCCATTCATCCATTTCTTTTCTTCCGCAAAACAACAGTAAATAATAGATGTTTATGAATGAAAACAACTGTAACAGAAAAAAAACCCCCACTCGCCAACTTACCGTATTTATCCAACTCCTCCGTCGCAAATCGATGCTTCAGTACCCACATATCCTAAGCAAACCTAACCCTACTCTCCCTCCTAGGCTGTCCACTTCTCCCAGGCTGCTCTCCCATCCCCGCCGCTGCCCCCACACTCCCCACCCCATAACTATAATACCCCCGCAAATCATCCTCTGTCCACACACTCTTCCCCTCCCCTTCCTCCTCCTTCCGCGCACTGCTCACCTGTGGCGCAAAATAGCTATACTCGTCCGAATTCACCGGCGCCAGAGCACTCATCCCATACTCATTCGCCTGCCCAGCCGGCGTAGACGGCGTGCGGATGCTGAATCCGTACTCATCGCGCTGGATGGTCAGTCGTGGGCGCGACCACGGGGAAGGGTACTCGAAATGAGATGTGCCGAGCGGGCTTACGGGGGATCTAGGGGTTGAGGTTTGGGAGGAGCGGCGGCGGTGGCGCCGGGTTTCGACGTAGCCGTGAGAACTCCTGGGCGGTGAGTGGATGGAGATGCTACTGCGGCGGCGGTGGCGGTGCGAGGAGGGGGTTGGGGTGGTGATGGTGTGGGTTGCTACGTGGGGGTCTAAGAGCACAGTCGAAGGCCTTCGTTCCACAGTGTTGTAGTTGTAGGGTGTGGGTTGCGCGATACAGAGTCTGGGTCTTGGTTCAGGTTTGTGTGAGGGGCAGGGAGATTGGGGGCCTCCACCGCGATGGTCATTTGCATGTTTGCGGCTGCTGCCTTCGCCTGGGGGTTTCTGTCCAGTAGACGTCTTACTGGGGCGTCTCCTAGAGCCCACAGGGATCTTGATCTTCAACGATATACCCATAACAGCTACTTTTCTTTTACATCAGACATGTGTTTCAAATTTGGATCAAATTGGTGGCGTTGATGTTTATTATACGATTGCTAGTTGTTGGTTAAATGGTAGAGATCTCTCGGGAAAATATGGAATCAATAATAAATTCGGTCGTAATATACTCTTTCGTTGAATAATGCTGTGAGACAATGTTTTGTGGTGAATGAACACTTAGGTGGTACAGTTTTGTGAGTTAACAGCGAGTAAAATGTGAAAGTGTGGGAGCATTGTAAACGGTTCAATAAATCGTGTGAATATCAACAGCTGAATTGTCTACTGGTAGAGAATTGATTGAGCAAGCCAAAGGTGATGCATCATGGATTCTTTGCTTGTCCCTGGCATACTTCATCTGCTACAATGCACTCTGGCAGATCACATTCTCAATCTCGATGACTTGATGAATGGAATTTCAGTTAGTGAGACATAGGTCACTGATATGACGAAGCACCGCAATAACTTTGAATGATGTTTTACTGGTGTATTTAGCGTCAGTGAATTATACGTCTACTTCGCTTTTCTGCTTCGCAACACTCTGCCTTCACCAAGAGTGTCATTTTCGTCATGTTCTTCTGAATCATCATTTTCATCTTCTGCATCCCCTTCTTCTCCCTGGCTGACGTCACCATCTACAACTTCGCCCCGTCCGATAATCTCGTTGCTGCGGCCTTCCCTTTCCTTTATTCGAAGCACCTTGATCCTCCATATGCGCTGTTCCATCCGAAGCCTCAACTCCTCCAACTCCTTTCTTTCTTTGACTGTCGCATTAATTGGTATGCTAGGCAAATTATCTAGCTTCATCTCGATATCTTCATCCTTATCTCTCCCATTCACAAGTGTACCCTCGTGTACAGCTCCACTGGCTACTCCAGTACCATTCGATAAAAGCAAAGGACCGGCCGCAACATCATCCAAATTGCGCTGCCAGTGCGGTATACGGACAGGATACTGCTCAAGCCTAGAGAGTCTCTTTTTCTTCCACTCTTTTTGCTTCGTATTCTCAGGCTCCAAGTCAGAGAGAAAACCGGTGTCATCCGGTGCCCGGGGATCGGGATCTTGTTGTACTACACTTGGTCTCTCCATGGTGGAGGGATCGAGCGTAGCTTCTTCTTCCACTTGGCGCTTCTTGCCTCGGGTAGCTTTTGGTTGAACTGGCTTCTTTGGCGGAGATGCCGAAGGATTCAAATCGACTTTTAGGGGGCGAACATGAGTGAGATACTGATATTTCCCGCCTGGAAGAGGTTCAGAAGAGCCTTGTTCTTCCTCTTCTTCTTCCGAGTCTACAACAGGTGCGACAGGTGTTTTAGGCAATTCTATGACTTCTGTTTGAGTATTACCTAATGGCTCGGCTTCTTCTTGAGCGTTTTTTGCCGCATCTGCTTCTGCAATCTCTTTTTCATACTCTTTCAAAACTGCCTTGAGGTCTGTCACTTTTACCCACCCCACCTTTCCAGCTGCTGTCCCATTTCGCTCTTGTCGTGCTTTGATTGCACGCCTTGCCTTTGCTCGAAAGTCCTGGATGGTGGCATTCGGTATGGCAGATATCTGACTTAGGAGCGTAAGAATGCCAATATCCCATTGCGTTGCCTCGAATTGCTTGTTGGGCCATAGTGCTCTAGGCAAACATTCATGGACGCGATGAATTGTCCAGTTTTTGGTGATGGATCGGATATTGTAGGTGACAGAACTTGATGGTTTAGATGGTTTAGATGGTGCCATGGTCACACCAATGAAGAGTTAAACTTAATACGTATTGCAGATTGAGCCGATGTGTTGTAGGCGAAGCTTTAATGTTGGGCAGTCCGAAGAGTTCGTAGGGCAATATTATTCTGCATATAGATGGCATGGTGATGATGCAGACGGTAAGGCTCGGGGCGCCAACTTGAAATAGTAGAGGTGAAAGGCGGTAGGTGCGTGGCTGACTCGCAGGCGCTAGCATCTAGAAACGGCTAGCCAAATCAGTCCAGCAGCATCCTTGTGCGGCACCTCCAGCTTGAGCGACATGAGATATTGAAGGAATAAAATACTGATACGTGCAGTATCCGCTATGGCTTCTCATGGTTGAAGCCATGTGGCAGCGGACCAATGATGTCATTGGAATTATCGGGCCGCGCTTAGCATTCAAGTTTGATACGCTAAGTTCGGGGCATAATGCTGGATGGGCCACTCATGGTCTGGCAGGTTGAGAAGAAACATTTGTTGTCTTCTGAATTCCTGAACACTTCATGTTTCCATAGAGATGACTCCAGATGTTGTACAATCGTGTCGCGTGTATGATACAGATATATAGCACAAAGCTGAGGAGAGTGTGAACGCCGCCCGCTGCCGAACCTGACTGCGGTATATGCCAAAAAATCCCATAAACACCGCCCGCCCACCCGTCATACTGCCTCCTTTTTTTCCCAACGAATCAAGCCGTGCTTCAAAAAACGTAATCATGAAATGGCATCCCCTACGCAGCTACAGCCATGCCACTGCTACCGGGTGATGCTCCAGCGTCGCTTGGTGGTGGTGGGGGAGCGTCAAGCCTTGTGTTGTCTGCCATCATACGGTTGAAACCAATTGAGACGCCCTCAATGACTGCTAATAGGATGGCACATGATATCGCGCCGTTGCGCATCGATTTGTAGCCTCCTCGCACCGCAAGCGATCCACCCGTGAAGAAACCAGCGATGATGGCATTCCACGGGTCCTCCTTCTTCCGAATTCCCTTGACGGCGCAGTCATATGTGTTGAACAGACCTCCCCAGACACCAAAATTGCCGCCGAGGACTGGTGCGCGGGCTTTGATCGCTGTGATGGCGCCTATGCGTCGCTCGCCGTAGGGTGAATTGCGGAACTGGGCCCTTTGTTAGCACGTCATTCTAGGGCTGATCATGATACTTACGCCTTTCACACCATGCCATACTGCTCCTCCAACCGCCTGATATCCGGTTAGTATATGCGCTGTACATGCTGCGTCTGGCACGACATACACCCATGGCGAAAGCACCGCCAAAGTCATTAAGAATGACCCACGGACAAGGATCGCGTGAATGATCCATTTTGTATTATTACTGCAGCAAGAGTGGTGGCGGGGCCGAGAAGCGGGTGTAGAAAGAGTGCTGGCGAACTTAAGGTAAGATGGTAGCCACTGGTGACGATGTGCTTCGACGTTTTTCTCTCAAGGACCCTGGCCGGATTGGCGCTAGCGGCGAAACCTCGGAGCTGCCCTTCACCTACAACGTCCTGTGCCAACCTTCCACTCCATCTTTCCTCAATATCTGAGCACCACTTGTCCTCAGTCTTGAACACCACTTATCCTCAGCCTTGGACACCATCTATATGACATAATCATGCGTGCATTCAATATAGGATGGAAAGTGACATGGCATGTTCGGGCACTGCCTACGCAATTGCTAGAGCAACCTCTCACCGGATTGTCATGTCACTCTGCCCTGCTGTCTCGTTTTCACTTTTCACTTTCACTTTGCTTTGTGTCCTGCGCGCCCAAACTTTGCGTTAACTTGAGCTGCTCAGCAAACGCAGGGTCTTGGCACAAACTTTCACACTCTTATAAGTCCAACTGAACCTACGCACTTACCTTCTCGCTACTTTTGTCGTCTGCTCATCCTCTAAATCTTTGCCAAGATGGCGGTCATTACAAAAAGTGGCAAGCAAGATGGGGTCACTCTGTCCAGGGAGGGTCTTGAGCCGAATGATCTACCAATCCGAGGTAATCACCAAACGAGTTCTTCCGAGACACCCCAGGTAGATCTGCTGGGACTGCACATGAAGGAAGTTATTTCGACAATCAACCGACTCGAAAGTCTCGGATTACAGCAGATGAATATTCCTCTGCCAAAATGCGTTGTTTTGGGTAACGTTACCTAACGAATTGGCGCATATGATTTCACTGACATTTAACCAAAGGTGAACAGTCTGCAGGAAAGTCATCGGTTATTGAGGCGATATCGGGCATCAAGACTCCTAGGTCTGACGACACATGCACTCGATGCCCTTTGTATATCAAGCTAGAGCCCTCGGAAGATCCCCACGCTAGTTGGAGCGCAAGCGTGAGCCTTCGCCGCAACTTCAGCTATGAAAACAGACCTGGCCGAGGAAATGAGAGACGGTTTCGTGGTTGGTGCGAGCTGCCGCAGCCTCAACTCGTACCGTTCGCAACTACGGACAACCCGGAAGAGCTGGAGCATATCATTGGTCGCGCGCAACTCGCAACCATCAGTCCTCTGGTCGACTACCAGGAGTTTCTGAATTCATCCCTCCACCTTGGAGAGAATCATAGGTGCGAGTTCAGCCCAAACATTGTCGACATCTCAATCAGCCAGCCGGGACTGTCAGCACTAAGCTTCTACGATTTGCCTGGCATCATTGGTCAAGCAGAAACGGAGGATAAGAAATTTCTTGTCAAGTTTGTACGTGATCTAGTCAAAGAATACGTTCGCGATCGTGAAGCTCTTATCCTCCTATGCTGCTCTCTTGAGACCGATATTGCCAACTCAAGCGCTGGTGGTATTGCAAGAGACTTGGGTGCAACTGACAGATGCATTGGTGTTCTCACTAAGCCTGATCGGCTACCAGCAGGGTCGCGTCACGATAAAATCAGAGAGATTTTTGATAGAAAGAGATTCGCTCTAGGTTATGGGTATTTTGTTGTCAAGAATCCTGGCCAAGATGAAATCAATCGTGGAATCAGCCATAGAGAAGCCCGTATACAAGAGGAGAGCTTCTTTCGCGAAGATACAACTTGGCGTGATGCCTTTAAGTCGTACGCAGACTACTTTGGCACACTAAATCTCCAAGCGTTTCTTTCTAAAACGCTCGCGGAACAGATGATCAAGCAGCTGCCAACTATCGATGAGCATATTTTGCTTCGTCTTTCTTGTGTAGAGCAAGATCTTGAGCAATTTCCAGAGCCACCAACCCACAACGCATCTCGGATTATGTCGGACATTATCCTCAACTTCTCCCAGGAGGTACGCAGAGAGATCAAAGCTGAGTTTCCACATAAAGAATGGAGGAACAACTGGAAGGCTCTCCAGAAGACTTTCTTTAGTAATCTAGAAAGTATGAAGCCAGGGATGAAGCTTCGTGGAGTTGATGATGAATCTGTCTATCTTGACGTCCAGGCAGCACTCCCTGGTGCCTCGGCGAAGGTGCCCATTGCGCTATCTGATGAAGAAGACAATGGCGAAAACTCCACTGACAGCGATGCATCCGGCAAGTCTCCAAAGAAGAAGCGAAAGATTAACTCAATGGCGACAGCCTCACCAGCCAAAATGCCGAGCTGTCAGGAGGGCCCAGACTCTACAGACTTCAGGCATCTGAAGAAAACGTTCGAGCTTGACACAGTTCGAGAATTCTTGGCAGAGAATTCGCAGTCAAAGGTTCCTGGTCAGATTGAGCCGCGTGTCATTGACACTATGATGTTGACAGCGATTCAACACTGGGACGAGCCGCTACACCATTTTTTGCGCAGTCTCCAGGAGCAAGTTCACAAACAGATGCAAGCATTGTTCGACAAGCACTTTGAGAGTCGCAAAGGATCCATGTTCTACGACAAGGCATGGGAGATCCTTCAGAAACTAATCCTGCCCAGTTACGACCTGGCGCGCGATAGCCTCAACGACGAAAACCAGGGCCCGTACATATTCCACGAGGATCTCTTCGAACGTGAGAAGACGGCAATGCTCGAGTATTACCAGCAACACCGTCTCCAGACCCGACTTGCGTTGTACAAGCGGCAGAAGGAGCAACGCACAAAGAAGCCGTTCACGCCCGCCGAAGAAGAGCGAGTCAAGAAGACCTCGATGCCTATTCTAGCACACGAGCCTTATGCCCGCGAGATTGGCGTTATCGCACAGGTGACCACGTACTACATGCTCGCCGCTCGCCGCTTCCACGATGCCGTCTGCATGCGTATCGAGTCCAAGTTCCACAAAGAACTGTGTACGCAGCTCCGTGATGAGCTGGAGAACGGACTGGGCATACGGAACGACGCTGAAGGTAAGACAACTTTAGTTATGCATTCGCAAAGCACCATTCAGTACGGCAAAAAGCTAACTTTGTGTGCAACAGGCTATCAAGATGCAATTCACCTCCTTGCTGAACCGACCGATCGCTACAAGCAGCGCATGGACCTGCAGGCGCAGCGCAAAGCACTAGTTAAGGGTCAGGAGATCCTTCGGGATCTTCAGCACAGGTACGGCGGCAACAAAGGCGGCAGCGGTGGTAGTGGTGGTGTGCCAGTTGAGGAGAAGATGGAAGGTGTTGAAGATACGGCGTAGTGTTGTGCGTCTCGTCTACATGAGTACGTGTCTTTCACCTGTACAAGGTTGCATTGTCGTATGCTACTGAAAGGGCGAAGGAGATAGCTGAGTAGCGCAAATTAGTTTGCAAGGTTAGGCCGTGGGCAAATGGAGGAGAAGAAGAGAATGACAGAGTGGCTCAGACGCGTCAACGCCGCAACGGATCGAGCAGTCTGGGCCGTGAATTGCGTGGATTTCTCGACTGTGTCATGATAAGCGCCAAGGGGGCAAAGAAATTACACAATACGAGATTAGTATGGGTTGTCAGCTCTCCTTCTCTTGATTTGATGACCATAATGGATTGTAAGACTAGATTAGAATCTCAGGCTCAAACAAAACCCCCGTCTTACTCATACACAAAGCACGTGGGATACGTTGTCACCATCATCATGTAAAGCCCGGATCCAGCCGCTGCTTCATCCAAGTTCCCACCTCCTCGACGCGTGATTTCCACGCTGGATTCTCATCCTGCTGACTCCACAGGCCGAGTCCCCAATGCGAGTTCACCTGGACGCGGCCGTGGGCATACTCTTCGTAGTGCTTCTTCTCGGCTGCATCAAACCATCGCGATCGCCCTGTATGCGCTTTCATAGTCTGACGAGCGATGCTTCGACGTACCATTTTTGCCAGCTCGAGCGAGCTATCCGACAGTGGACTTTGCAAGCCAGTGGTGATGTTCCAGACTGGGAGGGTTAGACGAATGCCAGCTTGGGGATAGTTGCGGGCGTATGCACGACACCGGCTCAGATACGGCAACGGCTGCGGGGGTTTGGCCTTTTCCTCAAAGGTGGCATAGTGGTTGAGGGCCATCTGAGCCTCCATGTCCAGAATCTCGTCAGGTTGCTGCGACGCAAAGATGTGATCTGGTTGTGGATAGATCAATTGGGCATGGGGGGAACGGAAGAAATGGATGGGAGAAGCGAAGCGATCAAAATAGTCATCTGGGCTTCTGAAGAGGACATCGCGCTCTCCCGACAGAGTCAGGGTGGGTATGACGGTATTGTCGCCGTGGGCTTGCCAGGAAGAAAGTTGGTGGGCCTTTGACCAAGGCCGCTTGCGGGACTTGCGTTCGGACTTGAGGATATTATGAGTGGCTTCCTGCAGTGCCAATGAACCGGCCAAGTCCTCGTCGGCAGGGAGCGCCGTTTCGTCACCGTGTATAGGTTCTTGGAGGTCCTCGGGGTGCACGACAGGGAGCTCGTCCGGAAACACCCAGTCGATGAGGGGGTTGTTCACGGCCGCGGCACCGATCCGGCTCTCTCCAGCATGGCACTCGGTCAAGGCCAGCATCGTAGCCAGAGAGCCCCCGACGAGTTCTCCACATACGCCAAGACGAGCTAGGTAAGGCCGGTTGAATGCATCAACAAGCAGATGCTCGCGCACCCAGTCGTAGCCGGCCAATACATCGTGGCATGGCGTGGGATACTGGTGTACTGATGAAGCACGGTAGTTGATGCGGACGACAGTTGCCGCGCTTGCAGCGGCTAATGTTGTGATGAAGCGGTGTTCATCTTCTTCAGACTGTGGTAGTACAGGACCAGGAGGAAGATAGATCAAGATGGGTGCAGCAGGCTTGGGGGCGCGGAAAACGCTACAAGGGCGAGTTAGTTGAGTAGGCGAATGAGGAGACGAGGGATTCTGGTGCAGAATTCTAGTGGCTTGACATGGAGTGAGAATGTGGAGAAAGTGCAGCAAGTGGGATTGGGGTAGTAGTGGGCAAGGCGGAAGAGCGACCAGGGCTAATAGGCGGGCGTGAGGTCATTGCACATGAGGGAGGCCTATCTGCGACCATGCATGGTCAAGACAAACAAGATGCAACGGCAGAACAACGTCATGTGCGGGAAGACAAGACGGGAGAGGAGACTCACTCAACCGTCACGATGCCGTTGGACCGACAAGGGACATGAATCTGTTCGTGTGGCGCGGGCGCTGACGCTGCTGAGAATGGCCGGGGCTTAGGGGCGCCCAGACGCGCGTAGTAGGCGGGCCGTAGTCGCGGGGGTCGCAGAGCAGAGGCAGCCTTTTGACAGATGCGTAGCGGCATCAAAGGTGGGCACACAAGCGAGGGTGGCAGCGGTCAGGCGATGGGCGGGAGGGTATTGGCTGTGGGCGGGAGGGTGTTGGTGAAAGGCAGCTGGCTGGCTGGCAAGGGCTGACACATGCAAACTGCGGCCTTTGGGGGCGGCAAAAAGAGCGGTCGCAATCGTGAGAAAACAAGCAGGCGGGGCGGGATGCGATTCGAAGAGTGCGATGTTGGCGGCAAAATGGGCCTGGCCGGGCGTTGGCCATTGATTGTCGCAACCCGGGCTTGTTCAGGGGAAGGCGTGGGCGGGGGCAGAATGTGGCGCGCGTCGTGCAGCCAAATTACTGAGTTCAGCTGGCTGCACTGCGCTGCACTGCACTGCACTGCCCCTACCCATTGTGCTTTCTCCAAAAACAACCCCTCAGCCTGCCCGCGCCCGCCGCCATCGGCCTCGCTGCCTCGCTGCCTCGCTCTCCCTTGTGCTTGTGCCTCTCCCTGCTGTCCCTCGATCCCTTGCGTCCATAGCCATATGCGCACTCGTCGATAGCACTATAATATCCCGCAGAGTGGACCCTGTGCCTGTGCGACTCCACCCGTGGTTCAGGCATACCCTTTCCTAGCCACTCCACCCAGCGCGTCCCCTTAACACCACCACCCTCTGACCGCCCATACGATCCTTTTACCACTTGCACCGCTGTCCGCAAGTCGCCAAACCTCCCGGCCTGCTCCAACGCCGTACCTACATTGGCCGCCCTGCACAACCACCTGCCCACTCTACACACAGGTCGTTGCCTGCCGGCCTGTCGATATGGCTCAAGTATCTAGGCTCCGCGCAACCTTGACGCTGCTCAAGAACCTGGCGCTGGCTGCACTGCTCTACGGAGCCATATACGGCCTCATTTCTTTTGTCAGCGACCCCTCGGTCGCGGCAAAGGGCAAGATTGGCATTCCCGCCTTCCTCGACAAGGCTGGACCGACAGAGCTGATCGAGACCACCCGCTCCGGCGTCAAGGTCAAATTTGCCGGCACCACCAAGACCGTCACAATCAACCCGCACGCCAATGTCTTCAACCGCCCCATTACCGCCGTCAAGAACAAGGACGACTACCTGGGTCCTCGCCCCCACGTCGACACCGAGGCCGACATCGACATGTTGATTGAAGAGTGCAGGGGCACATATGCTGGCATCGAGAAGATGAGGAAGCCGTTTGATTGCCTAAAGTTCTTTGCAGAGGGAGAGGATCGCTACTACAGCCTGCCTGCTGCCGCCGACCGTGCAAGTGCCCAAGACCCCCGCAAAGCAGACTTTATAAACGCAGACGGCCACGGAAACACACTGGACAAATACACCCCCGTAAAGGACGCGGTCGCTGCTAATGGCACCAACATTGGAACCTGCCCCGGCCCAATCATCCCATACCACGTCTACTGGACCGGTCCAGCTACTTGGCGAGTTGAGGTCTTCATCAAGAGTTACTTGTACACCCAGAATCTCGCTTGCTCTCGTTTGTGGCTGTGGCTTGACAGCGACCGCAACCCCAAGGCTGTTTACAACATGCTCAACAAGGACGCTCTCTTCGCCCGTTTCTTGCCCCTGGTAGAAAGAGGTGACATTGTTGTCAAGGCCTGGAACTTCCCTAGCCGCATTCCTCTGGCTACCGACAAGGAAAACAAGAACGGCTTCAACTACTACAGCAAGCCTGGACTGCCCAACGCAAAGGGCGAGAGGGACGTGGCCGAGAACATTGTTGAAGACAAGCAGGGACAGCAGTGGCTCGTACTGACCCAGAAGCAAATGACCTTCCTCCCCGTCGCCGTCTCTGACGCAGTCCGCTTCATTGTCTTGCACATCTACGGCGGTGCCTACTTCGACATGGATGTACTCATGCTCAGGGATATGCGTCCGCTCCTTTTGCCCAAGGAACACGCTTTTGCTGAGCGATGGGCTGCTCACCCCCACCCAGGCGATTACAACACGGCCATCATGTCCCTTTCTGCAAACTCCTCGCTTTCTTCCTATCTGCTTTACGGTGGTATTCGCATGGGTGTCAACTTCCACCCCCGTGTCCTTGGTCGCATGGCTTGGAAAGACGGACGTGATCAGGAATTCAAAATGTTCGAGACTGCCGCATTCGATCCCATCTGGACGGAATTCAACTGGGACCGCGAGGGCCGATGCACCGTTCCATGCATTCGTGATTACAGCGCTGTGTTCAAGGGCAAGATTAGTGGAATCCGCGATGAATGGGAGAGCTACGACGGGCCACAGTTGGACCGCATTGATCTCAAAGATGCGCAGCGCAAGGAGCTGAGTTCCAGTACTCAGAACGAAAAGCGTGACCAAGACAATGTACCAGCGTCTTCAGCAGCGCAGACTCCTAGCAACGGCGACAAACCGGGACACCATGATTCATTCCAAGCTACGCTCGACGAGGAAGCTGAGCTCCGCAAGGCTGGTGTCATTTCCGACTATGTCCTCAAGGAAGACAAGTTCCCACCAAACAACCGCACCCTTGAGAACTTTTTCCGTGGTGCATGGACTTATCATATCCACAACCAGGTGAGTATCTTCATCCGCATTGCCAGCATCAACAAAGACCAAGACTGACATGATCTTTACAGTGGATGAAACACCCTGAGCCCTCATCCTGGCTTTCAGTTCTCGAACACGCACATGACGGTTTCATTGCCGGCAAGCGCACCAATCCCTATGGCGAGAAATGGACCGGCCCCAGCATCATGCCATACAACTACTGGCCAGAGTACGTATGAGCAGGCGGCAGCTTGCTCATTTCCATGGCCATCTTCGACGCCTTCCTCCTTTTCACGTCACCGAGTTTACACTTTTGGGCGAGCAAAAGGTCGCCGTGCCGAGTTTGTTCCTCTCCGCACCCACTATGCACCGATCCCCCCTCCTACGACAAGTACCTCAAGCGAGAAGACTGCAGCCTCGCGGATGCGTCCCTTTCTCGACGCACACTCCGCCAATGACCAGACATGACCACAATGTCATGTAGGACGAAGAAGAAACAAGATTACGAGTCGACGGCGCCATATCAGACAAGTATACATTCTACCATCCCAGCCTCTGGTAAGGTGTTTTGATTTCCCGACTTCCGGCGTTTAGGACACTTTGGAGCAATTACCGCCTTTTAACTCTTATCACAACCATTGCTAACACTCTTCCCGAATATGGCGAAATATATACCCTTCGTTTTTTTCTTCTTCATTCTTCATTCGATACATACATTCTTACACTTTTTGCTTGCATTGTTTTTGTTCTCAAAGCGGAAACTTTTTTTGGGGGGCGATTCTCTGGGGTTGTATTCAAGAGAACACATTGCTTGTTGGTGTTGTGGGAGTAAACAAAGAAAACGCAACCGGAAATTTTAAAAGCGGGAGACATTTTTTTTATTTTCATGATTGTAATAGAGATGAATTGAGACGATGATTTTCAAGAAGAAAATTCGCTCCCTTTGATATAATGAATAAGGTGAGACTCGGAATCACAATAAAAAAGCAAAAGAAGTAACACGTGTGAAGAGCGGACTGAATACTTTTGACTTGATGTTCAATCCTATCATTAGTCACAAACTCCCTTGTCCGTGGACATGCACCCATTTGTCCTTTACCCAGTCAATCTTCATCGTAGCTATACCTCAGGCCTATCTGGGTCAAGGCCAAGCCAGTTTCAAGACACCAACAAGAGCAAGACATATGCATCACCAACAAAAGACGGTTGTTTTCAAAAGTGTTCCATATTTCAGCATGACAAGCAAGAGTGCCCCGCTACGAGCGTTCCTAAAAGTACTCTCTCTTTCTCTCTCTCTTGCTTAAAAAACTCTCCCATACCTAGTCACTCTCTTAACAGTTACAAATCAATCAGAGGCTCATCAGCCACCTTTGCTTGCTGTGCAGGGAGCTGGTTCTGAGGTGCAGAGGGGAAACTCTCGGGCCCGTAGCCTCCAGTCGCATACGGTGCTGGCTGCCATCCAGACGTTTGCGGCTGTTGCTGGTGCGGTGCTTGATGTTGTTGCTGTTGCCAGTACTGCGGTTGGGGTGGTTGCTGTTGCTGAGGAGCCTGTGGTTGCTGTTGAGCAGGGGCTTGCTGTTGAAGACCTTGCTGCGGTGGACCTTGCTGTGGTGGGGCTTGGTTCTGGTTCTGATTTTGTTGCCAATTTGGAGGCTGATCCTGTTGAGGATATGGTGGGTTTTGCCAGGCAGTAGCGGGCTGCGAAGGCGGTGAAATGGGTGTCTGCTGTGGCGGTGCCCGAGCATAAGCTTGGGGAGAAGGAGGTTGTTGCTGTGAAGGCTGAGAGCCATAACTTTGCGTCCGTTGCATGGGTGGCTGCGAAGGCTGTGCCGTATTGCTTTCTCCATAGTAGTAGCTGGCACTATCTGCATCTGATACTCCCGATGGTGGCGCTTGAGAAGGATATTGCTGGTTCGACATTTGACGTTGTAGCTGTGGTGACGAAGGTTGTTGGTAAGATGTGCTTGGCGGTCGCTGGGCCAGGTTCGGATATGGTTGTGATGGTTGTTGATACTGTTCATTAGGCGGGGCATAGGATGCGGGCCGTTTGTCGAACTGAGGATAGGGCTGTTGTTGGGGCTGGTAGCCTCCACCATACTGTGACTGAGGCTGTCCATACGCGCTCGAAGGGGGTGCATTTCCCGTGTAGTAATTTTCACTAGTAGCATCTGGTGCGCCTGACTGTATACTAGGATAGAGATTTGACCCTGGCCGTTGGGCAGACGGAGGAAGTCCATACATGGTGTTGGCTTGGTTGTATGTGCTCGACAATCTTTCCTCAAGCATGCGATCATAGTAACGAACAACGGTGGAGAGCTTGGCATGCAGATCAAGTAGCGTATCTATAATTGTCAGTGCGCAGTCTTGTGATAGTTGAACAGTACATACCATGCTTGCTCATAGTCTCGCCATAGGTACGCGCAAGCTTCGGCCTCAGTTTGCCAATGCTCTCGTATAACTCTTGTATCTGCGGCTCACGGAGGATTGTGCCAGGGGGCTGATGTTGTAGGCGGTCGACTAAAGTGGAAAATAAGTTGATATTCTCAGCTTCAACAGGCGTCAATTCGTAGTCGTTCTTGGGTGCGACAAAGGGGGTTGATGAATCGGCGTTGGAAGCCTGCTCTCGGAAGGTTGTGGAGTACTTCCTCTTCTGTTCTTCCATGTCAGCCAATGAGGCCGCAATAGCAGCGGCCAGATCAGCGTCCTCCTCCTCCTCAGGCTGCTTCTTGGAAGTTGCGTTTGTAGAGTTGGATTGTGATAGTTGTGACTGGGACACGAAGCCAGAAGAACTGTTTCCCTTGGCCTCATCGAGACTCATCTCCAGGGCTCGCTTAAGATCCGCATCAAAGCTGTCTTCTATACGGGCGTTTCGCGGTTCCATCGAGCCCTGATACAATGTTTTCTGGGGCCTGTGGGCATCGAACACTCTGGGAAGGTGTGTCCCTCTAGACTTCTCGGTGAGCTTGGCATGGCAGCCATCGTCGACGCGCACAGGGTCCATGATGCCGAGGTGCGGTAGGGGGATGTTCTTGCTCGAGCATGCGCCGCAGAAGACATTTCCGCAGTTTCGGCAGTGGTGCTTTCGGTTGGTGAAAGTGAAGGCGGTGCGGCATCGCATACAGACGTCCGAGTCGGTCCACTCTGGGGGCTGCAGCAAGCAAGATAGATTAGTACTAGGGCGAACGGCTGGCATGTGGCAAGAAAGCTTACCGCGCTGCTATCGAGCATACTTCCGGTAATGTTCTCTTTAGGAGGGAAGTGGTAGCCTTCGCGCTGTAGGCTCTGGTACACTTCGTTGATGTAGCCCAGGTTTGTGCGCCCTTCTGCAGCTATTGCCCAGGACTGTATCAGCTGGAGCATCTTGTTCTTGACATCGTGGTTGGGTGCGACGGAAGGGGGTGCCTTGAGGAGGGAAGTCATGTTGTCCAGGAACTCGCGAGAAGCTATCTCTTGGATGAAGTGAGCGCCGCCGTTCTTCACGCACGTGTCTGTGAGCTGGAAGAGGGTCAGCAAACACGGGTCGCATAGCAGGAGGGGTTCGATGTACATTCAAAGCTGCGAGCTGGACGTTGGGGTTCTTGTGCCCTATCCTCTTCTTCAGTGAGCGCATGGCGTCTTTAGGCTGCACTGTCTTGGACCGAATCACGTCGGATATCTCAAGATTGAGTGGCATATCCTCTCTGCCATGTGTTAGCAGACGACACAAGGGCTAGGCGAAAGGCAGGCCATGCATACAAGCTTGAAGAGGTTGCGCGCTCAATCTGCTCGTCGAGCGCGCCGTTGGCTGAGGACCCGAACCAGCCCGCCATGGTGTTGGTGATGCAGCTGCTGCGTTGCCAGCGGCGGATTTATTTTCCTGTTATTTTCTTTGTCGGGTCGCGGTAGCAATCGAGTAGGGGACGCTGATGCAGCAGCCTCTGTTGACGGTGAATTGGGCGTAGGAGGGTTGTGGCGCGGCGCCTGTGGTGGTCATGGGCGTGGTCAGGTAGCAGGCTGAGGTCCGAGGCGGGAGTGCTTGGCTGATGACGCCCTGTGGCGGAGGCCCACGAGCCGCATCCACAGCGATGAGACCTATGCCTGCAACCCTGGCCGTCCCAAACACCACCGCTGCCCTGTGCCTCACCCACGCCCGCCGCTCTCGCCCTTAAACTCCCGCCGCCCGCCCTTCTTCGGTGTCTACTCTAGCCACATACGCAGCAACAATCTCTCCGCTGCTCCAATTCACTCGTCTCCGCCCCTCGCCCACGGGTCAACGCGCTCCGCCCCGACTCCGCCCCGCTTCCCCGTCATCGTTGCCAGAACGGCCCAAAGATACCCAAGCAAACGCCGCCGTGGACGGGGCCTCTTGAACATGCGAGTGCCCAACGCCTAAAGAGATAGTACGAGTGCGGCTGCCCCTCGGCCGCCCTCACTCCCCCCGTCTGCCAACACCATGAACGGCTATCCCGATGGCGCAGATGCATCGAGGAACGGCCATGGGCAAGCCGACTCGCGCGGGTCTGGTGGCTACCCGCCCATTGCAGAGATTATTGCCTCTGCCACAGACACAGCCGAGTCGCTCAGAAACCATTCGGTACTCTTGCAAAGGCTCCCTCTATGTGCATGCCCGCGTTTGCTGACTGTCCTAGATCCGTAACTTGCTGGAACGGGCGCGGACACACTTCAACTCTGCCAAGACAATGCTCAACAACCGCATCCCTGCCGGAGCATACTGGGAGTACATGGTCGCCTACCAGATTGTCGTCGACCTGATTCCCTCGCACCGCGACTACTATGACAAGATCAGCAACAGCCGGAGCCAGGCTCACCGCGACTTCAACGACCTCATGCGGGACATCAAGTCGAGCGAGGAGCGATTTATGCGCATCAAGGACATTATCAAGAATGACAACAAGCGTCATGGCGGCCACCACAGGGCTGCCTCCCTACCTACAGGTCCCAGCCAACACTCCCGCAGTGGCTCCATCACGCCACGAAGAGACGACGAATTGATGCTGCCCGAAGTGCCCACGAATCTGCCAAACGGCCGCGCTTCACCTGCTGCGCCCTTTGATTCCTCTTACAGAAAACCCATGATGCATCCAAAGCCCCAAACGCTGCATGGCCGCGCTATCCATCAAAGTGCCGCGTCGGTGAATAACATAAACGACCTTGCCCAGCGCTTCGCAAACTTGCGCCGCTCTCCAATTGATGCATCTGCACGGTCTAGCCCTGACTTGTCAGTCAAGATGCCCTCCCCAGCAGACTTCACTACTACCAACAGAGTCATGGGACCGCGCGGTATGCCCATGGCACCTACAGCCATGCCTCAACCACCACCCAAACTGCCACTAGACACCCAATTTGCTGCGTCCCTACCCAAAGAACCTAGTCCCACCTACAGTCCCGCACGCAACATCTCAGGCCCCTCAAGCATCAATCCGCCACGAAGTACCCCGAGGAGTATGAATGGCACCGGAGGCCGTAACAACTCGTTGGCTGCATCGAGTGCTTCCAATTATGCCCCCAATGCGAATGGTGTGCCAGACTCATATTTCCCAGCCCAACAGAACCCACGTACTGCCCCCGAGAGGACCCGGTCTGTCAGCAAACCTGTCGAACTCGAAATAGACGCTAGCATGCTATACGACTACTACCGCATGTACAACGTACTCACCATTGATGTGCGCAATAGGACCGATTATGACGCAGGTCACATCTACGTGAGAAACATCATGTGTATAGAGCCTTTGACGTTACGCGACGGCGACTCAGCAGAACAGTTACTAGACCGACTTATCATCTCACCAGATGAAGAGCAGACCATGTTTGACCGGCGAAATGACTTTGATGTCGTCGTCTACTATGACGAATCAACCAAAAATATCGAATTTATGCAGAAATCCAACCGTTCCGAAAAAGAAACCGCATTGAAGCGTCTTTTCGACACTCTACACGAGTTCAACGCTGAAAAACCACTCAAACGCCCGCCGGTTCTTTTGAAAGGCGGCCTTGATGCCTGGGTTGACTTGGTAGGCCCACAGGCCTTGAAGATGTCGACTACTGCTGCACTGGTAGCCCAGGGTCCTACCAGGGCTCGCGCTGTTCGGCGGTCTCCTGCTGCTACTCATATTGCGAAGAACAACCAGAGACGGTCGCGACGTGAGTATGTACCCATGGACCAGGAAGAAGAACAAGCATGGTTAGAAGAAGCTCGCAAGGGGCGAGCTGATGTGGAGGTGCCTCCAACAGAGGGCGAAGGTGAAGAAGACGAGTCTAATGCGCCCTTTTATCGCTCCACCGAAGAGTTTTTGCGTCGTTATCCGGATGTCGAAGCTGAGCAGTCGATGATGTACCCGCCAAAACCCCAATCTACTAACCAATACGTCGCACCTGCCATACCTGTCGCCCCTTCACGACCACCGCCGTCGGTGCCCAGGGTTGGTTACAGCGGTGTGCATGAACGCCAAGATGTGCAGTCGACCCGCAACAATGTCTACAATTCGCAACCTCAATTTAGCAATCTAAGATTGCACCGAACCGGATTGCTCAACTTTGGAGTCACATGCTACATGAACTCGGTGGTTCAGTGTCTAAGTGGGCACTTGCTGCTATCAGACTTGTTCCTCACCGGGCGATACCAGCGCGACCTTCAACGAGACAATTGGAAGGGTACAAAGGGTATCCTGCCAGAGGCGTATGCGACGTTGCTATCGAACCTATACAAGGGCGATGTGTCGTCGGTACGCCCTAGTACTTTCAGGGTACGTTCAAAAGATATGCATTTTTCATGGGTTGTTGCTAACTCGTGACAGCGCATTTGTGGTCACTTCAACTCGCAATGGGGTATTGACGAGCAGCAAGATGCCAAGGAGTTTCTCGAATTCGTGTTGGATTACATGCACGAGGACATGAACCTGACATGGAACAAGCCGCCCCTTAAACCGCTGACAGATCAAGAAGAACTGACTCGCGAACGGTTTCCACGGCAATACTCGGCCATGATCGAATGGCGGCGATACCAGCACCGCGACATGTCCGTTATCGGTGGTCTGTTCGCTGGGCAGCACGCTTCACAGCTCACATGTCAAACGTGTGGTGTAACCAGTACAACGTACGAGGCGTTTTGGAGTATTAGCGTGGAGATTCCTCGCGAGGGCCAGTGCGACCTACGCCAATGCTTAGAATCCTATTGCGCGCCAGAACATCTAGCGGGAGACGAGCTATGGCGTTGCCCACGATGCAAAAAAGACCGCGAGGCGGTTAAGAAGATTACCATCACTCGAGCACCGGACACACTGGTCATCCACTTCAAGCGGTTCAGCGCATCCCGTACAGAAACTGCACGCAAAGTTCGCACGCCAGTCCACTTTCCGCTTCAAAGGCTGGACATAGGTCCGTTTGTTGAACCACCAATGACCCCAGAGCAAGAGGCATTTGTTGCACAGAAAGCCCGAGATGGACCTGTGCAGCTGGCTGGAGTCAAGGCCGACTCCACCATGAATGGACCGTTTGTCTACAATGCGTATGCTGTCATTTGGCATATTGGTGCGACTCTTGGCAGTGGCCATTACATTGCTTTCGTCAAGGACAAGTCGCGAGGATGTTGGCGTTCTTTCAATGATGACAAAATTCATGATTTCGATCCAGGCAATCTTCCAGCCAACAGTCGATTGCAGAATGAAAAGGCATACATTGTGTTTTACGAGCGGGAGAGGGTCGCTGGTGGGGCATTTTAGGTGTGGGTGTAAGCGCATTTCTAGACAATTTACGTGTCCGATATTTTTGCGCTTTATTTACTAGCGATGGGCTCATTCTTCCTATGCTGTTAATACTTGGTTGACGATGCTTTTGCATTCTGGGAGGAAGCATTGCATTGACGGCGCTGGAAAAAAAACGCAATCTGGCTGCCACGTTACATATACCACTTTGAATACCACGCGATGGCCATGACTGAATTGCATGAAGAATCTGAAGACAGTGGTGGAGATCAAGTTGGATGAGTAACTTGGCGCTGCACTCGATTCGCGTGTTCACCTATGGCAAGGCTAGTCATCTGTAGACCCGAAGATCGGCCCGCAAGTGTGAGGAGCACTGAACTTTTTTATGGCCGATAAGATAGCAATGACTCCCCACTTCTCCATACTTATACTCCAAAACTGACTCTTTTCACTGCCATTGACTCTTCCACCACACTTGATACCCGTCAGAAGAATTCAAAATGTCAAAGGGACGCGTCTGTCTTGCATACTCTGGTAAGTTTTCTAATGAGCTGGCTGCCCACTGTCACTACGTTCAATCCCGCTTTGTTGGCGAAGCACGTACACTAACTTGAGTCGTTAGGCGGCCTCGATACCTCCACCATCCTCAAATGGCTCATTGGTATGCCAATTCTGCACTCGAAGCCATGACTTTAACTAATTCGTTGGTAAAGAGGAAGGATACGAGGTCGTGTGCTTCCTGGCCAACGTTGGCCAGGACGAGCCATGGGACGAGGTTGAGAAGAAGGCGCTCAAGATCGGTGCACTGAAGATGGTCATCTTGGACCTGCAAAAGGAGTTCGTCGAAGAGCTCTGCTTCCGCGCTGTTCAGTGCAACGCTTCCTACGAGGGCCGATACCTTCTCGGAACCTCGCTGGCTCGTCCAGTCATCGCTCGCGCACAGATCCGCGTCGCACAACAAGAAGGCTGCGGCTTCGTCTCGCACGGCTGCACAGGCAAAGGAAACGACCAGGTTCGTTTCGAGCTTGCCTTCTACACACTACAGCCCTCCATCAAGGTCATTGCACCATGGAGGCTGCCAGAGTTCTGCGACCGCTTCAAGGGCAGGCAAGATCTCCTTGACTATGCTGAAAAGCACGGTATTCCTGTCACATCCACCAAGGCGAAGCCATGGAGCATGGACGCCAACCTGGCACACTGCAGTTACGAGGCTGGTAAGTCCACGAAACTTGATTGCCAATTCGGTGTTAATGACGTGTGCAGGTATCCTCGAGGACCCAGATGTGTCTCCCCCAGACGACATGTGGACCATGACCGACTCACCTCTCAACGCACCCAACGAGCCCACTGACATCACCGTATACTTTGAGAAGGGTATCCCCGTCAAGGTTGTAACACCAGAGAAGACCTACACAGACTCTGTTGAGCTCTTCGTTGCGCTCAACAAGCTCGGCTACACCCACGGCATTGGCCGCATCGACATTGTCGAGAACCGCTTCATCGGTCTCAAGTCCCGCGGCTGCTACGACTCACCAGCCATGACGATCCTCCGCCTCGCCCATCTCGACCTCGAGGGTCTTGTCATGGACGCACAGGTCCGCAACCTCCGCGACCAATTCGTTTCCCACAACTGGAGCTACCAGCTCTACAACGGCATGTACTTCTCGCCCGAGCGCGAGTTCATCGAGAACAGTCTGCTCTTCTCCCAGCGCAGGGTCAACGGCGAGGTCAGGATGAAGCTGTACAAGGGTAACGCGTACGTTCTTGGCCGTTCGAGCAAGACTGAGAAGCTTTACTCTGAGGAGGAGGCTTCCATGGATACCCTTGACAACTTTAGCCCAATGGATACGACTGGCTTCATTGCTATCCAGAGCATCCGGTGAGTCTGGTTCTTTTCAGGGTCGAAGCTTTCAATTACTAATGCCATGCTAGTTTGAAGAAGTACGGTCTCCAGAAGGCCGAGGAGGGAGCAAACATGTCCCGTGCGTAGATATCATGACTAAGTTGGAAAGGGTCACTGGAGAGGGGTGCATGATTGATGGGAACGAGCGCTCGCCTGTAGTAACCACGCGAACAAAACAACGTGGCATTACATAGCTAGGAGCCAAAAATATTTACATAATGCCCAACATGAGTCTTATGAAAGCGTGTGTTGTTCTCATTCTCATGCCCCTTATTGGTCGGCTTGCAAGCGACCCTGTTTTCTTAGCGTCAGCGCTTCCTCCCGTACTCTAATCTTACCATGGTTCACAACAGGGTCTAAAACCTATTCCATAGCCCCCTCCCCCCACTTAATTGACTTGACTTTGTATTATGCAGACTCACAAGAACATCCACTTTTCTTCACCTCGTTCACTTGGGATTAGAGTACCATGAGGAAGGATGCAGGGGTCAGACGTTTTTTATTGTCCAAAATTGTATAGACTGCCAAGGCGATTTCATGGTCGATGATGGTTTGGAAATGGGTAGCTTGGTAGCGCACTCGTGTCCTCGTGATTTGAGCCAAGTAGATGGAAGATTTGGCTGGAAAGTGCGCGAGAATACGCGGTTTTGGAGGATAGGTTTGTTTTCTTATAAGGGGCCTTTTTTTTCTTGGTGAGAATGTGGGTGCGGTTTTAGTGTCGGGTTTTCGTTGGTTAGGGAGAAGAGGAAGAGCGATGCTTGAACGTGTTGGATTTCTCTTTTTTTTGATACTGTAAAAGTGATGGAGTGAATGATTTGTGGTTGGCGGTTTGCTCTGGTAGACCGCTTTCTGCTTGTTCTTTGTTAGATATTTGGTTTATGTAGCGATATTTCTGTCTCGCACTTGGGTTATAAAGACCAGGGGTTGAATATGTTTACAGACACACAGGCACTTGGAATAAGATATACAATTAAAAAAACAGGAAGGGCCATGTGGGATGTCACTCTGTACGAAGAGCAGACAAACCTGCCTCCCATGACTCTAATCTTCTTTGTGTGCGTGGGGACTAACGGGACGAGCAAAAAAAACAGCTTACTGAATGCCCTTTGATGAGAGGAGCGGTATACCTGGGGGATAAATGGTAAGGGAAGGCGCGTGATTGCATTCTATAGCGGTAGTTTAATTATATGAAATGACGGTCAACCATGGATTATAGAGAAGACGAGTTTGCAACTGCTTGGGCGCTCCGTTAGTAGGTTTGTTGAGAACAGGGGGTGGTGGTCACGAGGAAACTGGCGGATATAGATTGGGTTATCGTGAGGCTGTATCAATGGCCCCGATTCTCTGGTACAGTTCATGAGGCTCCAGGCACGGGTTGATGCTTCCTTTCCGCTATACCGCCTGTTCAGTGCAGGCACGGAGAGATTTGGGAGTTGCAGGCCGAGTTTCAAAATTCAAACCTGGAAGCAACGGTGTATGGAGCAAAAGAGTCCTGAAGCTTGCGATGGTCAGTCGCACGGGAACTCATAGCCGTTCGGTAGCGACAGATATTGCACACCGCACCACGGCTGTGGTATTGCTCCTATTCTCAACCAAAAGACCTCGAGCCCAATCAGAGAAGCCTCTTCGGAGAGGGATATACAATCCTATTTCTTTTCATCGGAGAGACCATCCTTGATCTCCTCTCCACCACACAACGCAAGGCGATGGAGGGTGCTACGCCAAACTGCAGCTCAAAGCGACCATGTATCCAGTACCAGGATGATGTTCGGAAGTCTCAGCCGCGTAGATTACAATGTGGTGATTCCCCAGTAGAAACACCGTCGCCCCATGTAAGTTATCCTGCCGGCGTTGGAAGCTCTTTGTTACATACGTTTTCGTCATATAGCGCACTGTTTTAGGCCCAGAAACTGATTTAGTCGCAGATGGTAGAGAGCCCAGGTATTGGTGTCAATAAGCCCAAGAATACCCGACGTCGTAGAGGTGGCGAGTGCTCGAAGGCAGCTCCTCATTACCAGCCATATGGTCGCCAAAGAACCAGACAGAAACTACGCCAGTTAATTCCAGCTGGTCCTGAGCCAAACTCCTCTGTTTATGAGAATCAGCGACAAGAATTTGAACGACAGATGCGGCTGAGTAACCCCCTCAGGAGAACCACAGGTCTGGCGGATGACAACTTTGCCTATTTACCGCAAACTCCCTTTCCTTGTAGTGCGGGTCAGCAGTCTTCAAACCATCATGCGACGAACACGTTACCAATGAATCCCGGGGGAATACACCTGTCTCAGCAACATGGTGTGTTTTATGGGAACATGCCCGCTGAGAGTGGAGGCAGTAGCTTGTCACAAACACGTGCTGTTGCAGGGTTCAATTCGGCTGCAGCATACCCACCCTACAGCTTTTCCCAGCCACAAGCCACATACATGGCTTTTCCAGATTTTCTCGAAATTCCCCCCCAGTACCCGACCCGTGCAAACTTGCAGCCATCATACCCGCCGCCTATGTCCCACAATGCTGGCCCTGCAGAAACGCAGCCGTGGCAGCAAAATGCTCAAAGTAATGCACATCCTAATTTGTTCGATTGGAATCCTGTGGGCTACGTGAATCATTCGGATCCAGTAGCAATCGAACAGACAAGAGGGATGTACCTGGTTGAAGGGCCAGTCAAGAATGGAAACGGGGTTGTCGACGGGTTTGATATTCCGTAGGGGAGATGGCTCAGGCTTTCAGCGTCCCTTTTCTTGAATACGTACAGGACATATGGGTATCAGCGAGAGATTTGGTATGCAAATCATCATTCATTCACTGGGAGCATTTTTTTTCTTCGAAAGTTTTTGACGGAGCTTCATCGGTACCAATCTTGGAGGTGAAGAGGGCTGACTAATCGGTGGTATACCACTTGCTGCCTCCCATGTATGAGTTGGAGGATTCACAGCTCTAATTGGCCCTTGGAATCCAGGGTACTACTTGGTCAGTATTCTTGTATTGGTAGCATCGTTTTAATTCATACACTCCATGGTAAAAAAAAACGTTGAAAAGAAAATGGTGGGCGTTTGATTTGTCGAGGGAGGACAAGTAAAGACGACAGCAAAATAAGACCAAGAGACGCAGAGTATAGCATGATTTCTTGGGGAACACAGATTGATCTGCTGAGTGGTCCTAACAGATCATGTCTCCAAAACTAGAAACGCACCTTTTTTTCTGGTTCCAGTCCAAATCGTTGAATTCGTCTAGTATCTTTCATTTTGGCGTCTCAAACGCCGCCTCCCCATCCTAGTACTGCATAGGCTACCAAGCCAAGCAGTGCATCCCATGCTAAGGCTTTGATGGCATAGCCACCATCTCCAAGCGACCCCAAGACCCCACCATAACTTAACTCCTTTCTCATTGTTGCTACACTGGCAACTGCAAATCCACCAGAGACGGTGATGCACTTGACTACATCCGCATCTCTAAGACTCATTATAGCGGAGTGGGGTAGAAGCAGTATTGCTCGTGTGAGCAGTAGAAGAACCATGAATATTGAGTTTGATCGAAGGGCTGGGAGAGCCAGGAGGGAGGTATTGAGCAAGATATTAGGTATCTGCAACGATGCTATCGGGCTGCGGCGTCTTGGCACAGACTTGGGCTTAGCGGGCTCTTTTGAAGTTTCTGTCGGTGCAATGTCCGGAGATGAAAGGTGAAGTTGAATGATGAAAAGCAAGACTGTGAAGGATATGGGGAGAATCTGGCTCAGCAAGGTGTAATTGCGCACCATTGATGCGTCGTATTTGCGTTCTCTCGCTGCAAATGTATCAGCAAACTCAAGTGCTATGGTGAGGCCGAAAATGCTCACCTTTCTGAGCCATGTGGATGTTCCAGAACCATGTTGCGAGAATAGCAGCTTCAGTCCACGCCGCATTGGGCGCATTCTTGACCAAATCCTGCGCGAAATCCTGGAATAGCGTCGACTCCAACATCCATCTCTTCAACTGCTCTATTGTGACATGACTCGGATTCTGGCTCCTTGCGCTCCATTCTAGGAAGTGTGTGATTAAAAACATGAGCATATTATAGGATAGGGTTGCGAAGCTCAAGGAGGCTAGAAAGGCATAGATTTTGATGTGACGGGCCCGCGCTGTTCGGGCTGCATCGAGTTTTTCATCTTTCTTCGAGGTGGGTCCGTTGAATATGGTGGCATACTGAGAATAGAGAGACCAGGTGATTGTGAAGGTGGCATACAATGCAGCGACAATGTATGAGAGAAAGAGTATGGTGCCAAGATGGTTGTTTGGTGGTGCGGTGTAGTACACCAGCGCGTCGTATCCTGGAATATTCATGGTGGTATCAACAAAAAAGCCAATTGCAACATCCTGGGATGAAGAAAAGAGATATAGGGCAACCAAAGAATGGCGTATTGTCGGGGACAGATCTAAGGTTTCAGAGTAGGCGACGATGGCTGACGTCATGACACAATCGTTGTCTGAGAACACGGGTGATGAGACAGTTCGGCTGCTCCTTCCCTTCCGCCTGAGGACGCGACAGTGAGACTCGACATGTCAACAACATGTACAGACGGTGATAGCTTCTTTGTCGCCTCGGGAGCACTTGGTCGGTGGGAAACGCTCAAGCACATGGTGGCTGTGTGCTCGCGAGTGCATTGAACGCCATGACGGCGGTACTACTACGGTCTGAGGATTGTCGGTGCATCTATGAAGCGTGCAATTTGTTTCACACAACTCGGCTGGCCGATTGACATGGACCTCGAGTGTTGTCGCTTCTGGAGCGAGCACTTCAGCCGGAAGCTCTGTTTAAAGCAATCAGAAATTGCGTAGTAGTAGCAATCGACTGGACGCACGGCATACGTATTTCTGTTTTTTCTCAATGTCAAAACAACGGCTTATTGACAAGTGATATGTAAGGCCCCGAAGATGATTGAAAATGACTCATTTTACCAAAAGAGATTCAATTGAGCCAGTTAGCGCGGGAGAAGATGGATAAACGACGTAAGTACCGGTGAACCTTGAAGAGCATAACGCTGAGTAGAGGGCCTGACTCACTGGCCCGCTACATCAACCACAGCACCTTTCCGCCCCGGCTTGTCTCGTGACTCATCAACTCGTACCCTTATGGCTGAACGGAGGCCCAGGAATCACGTGCCTTGAATACTAATGCACGAAAGATGGTTGCCCCAACTGGAACTGCGTTTTCTGGTAATGTCGCCAAGACGTATCAGGCAACCACCACTACCGACATGCATATATAGGCAAGACTTTCCCACCGTCTCTTGTCTTGAACTCATACCACACTTCAAACTCACTCTCACACATATACATAACATAGTAGCGAACAAAAGCCATGATGCGGGACCACATCTGCGGATGCTACATATACAACTCGGAGGCCCGCCGACGTACCTACTTGCCGCAGGTCCATCTGGACGCTCATACAACAATCTTGTCAACGGCTTCTCGTACAGTACTGACGCAAACCTTTTTAAATGGCTCGGAAGACGCGTTGGATGAGATAAGGTACTTTCTTTGCTATACCCGAAAAGCGTTTGAGTTGCCCTGGGACTAAATTTCGCCATACAGGTATACTTTTCCATTGTACGACGGCGTCAGCGTCGTCGATTTCTACTGTGAAGTCGGAGAGCGCACCATTTACGGTCTGGTCAAAGAAAAGAACGATGCCAAAAAGACCTACGAAGAGGCCAAGCAACGAGGTGAAAGCGCTGCATTGCTGGAACAGCTACCTGAAGCCGCCGATGTCTTCACAACCACAATCGGCAATATTCCCCACAACGCAGCCGTGAAAACCACTATCAAATATGTGCAGGAGCTCAAGCATGATGCCGAAGTCGATGGTGTGCGCTTTACCATGCCAACATGGATTGCTCCGCGCTACGGAGGTTACCCCGGACGGTATCCTATCGAACTACAACAATCACTAAAACCAGTACCTTCTGAAGGGATTTCAGTCACTGTGGATATCAGCATGGCTGAGGGCATCCCAATCAAAAAGATTGTTTCTCCATCCCACCCTATCCAAGTCACACTTGGCTCACTGTCCAGCAGTACCATTGATGAGGATCAGTCACTGTCTCGAGGCTCGGCCACTCTTGCTCTGGGTACGGCGGTGCTTGAGAAAGATTTTATCCTTCAAGTGGTTGCAAAGGACATTGGTGTTCCTCAAGCAATTCTAGAGAGACACCCAACGCTGCCAAATCAACGCGCTCTGATGACTACGCTGGTACCAAAATTCAATCTCAAGTCCCAGAAACCAGAGATCATTCTCATTGCAGATCGCTCGGGTAGTATGCAAGGGGAGAACATTACCACTCTCAAATCGGCACTGAAGATCTTTTTGAAGTCGATTCCTCTTGGTTGCACATTCAACATCTGCTCTTTCGGGTCGAGGCATGAGTTCCTTTGGCACGAAAGCCAGGTATATGATGAGAGAACGCTGCAGCAGGCGATCAAGTAAGTACTGGTTTTTCTTTGTAAATCATCACTTGAGGACGTACATGATGGCGACCAATCCAAACTACACAGACTTGTGCTGCGAAGTTTCTTTTACAGCCCAACATAAGCATCTTACTAATTTCTTCTCAGATGTGTTCAAAATTTCGACGCCAACTTGGGTGGAACAGAAACTCTTGCCGCCGTCAAGGCATGTGTCGAAGCCCGTAGCAAGGACAGCCCGACTGAGCTTATTTTGCTCACCGATGGTGACATATGGTCTCAGGACGAGCTTTTCAGCTATGTTTCCCGTGAAACCGAGAGCGGAGACGTTCGCGTCTTTCCCTTGGGTATTGGCGGAGGGGTATCGAGTGCCTTGATTGAGGGTGTTGCAAGGGCAGGGTGTGGCTTCGCTCAGATGGTCACAGACAACGAGAAGATGGATAGCAAAGTTGTTCGCATGGTAGGTATGAATGGAGAGTTTGGCATATTGAACTGGGTGGCTAACAATTTTCACAGCTGAAGGGAGCACTTACTCCACACATTAAGGACTATCGTCTGGAGATCAAATACGAAGACGGCAACGTCAAGGCTGTCGCCGATGGCCTTCGCGTACACTTGGATGCTAAGCACTCAAGCGACAAAACCGAAACCAAGCCTATATCACTCTACGACCCCGACGTTAAAGAAGAACACCCCAAGGAAGGCGAGTCAAAGGACATCTTCGCAGGTTTGCCGGATCTCAAGCGCCCAGCTCTCCTACAAACGCCGCACAGAATCCCTTCTCTATTCCCCTTCTATCGCACTTGCGTGTACTTGCTCATTGCGCCCGAATCCTCGGACTCGAAAATCAAGAGCGTAGTCCTAAGAGGCACCTCCCCACAAGGTCCTCTCGAGCTCGAAATCCCAGTCGAGTCGCGCAAAGACACTGACAATATGATCCACCAGCTCGCCGCGCGAAAAGCAACTCAAGAGCTTGAGGAAGGCAGAGGCTGGATCTCAGGCGCTACCATCGATGACACGGGTGTACTGGTCAAGGAAAAGCACCCAAGCATGTACGCTCTGCTCCAAAGACGCGAAGCTGTACGTCTTGGAGTCGAATTCCAGGTCGGAGGAAAATACTGCTCTTTCGTCGCAGTTGAAGCAAACGAATCTGCCATTACTGAGATGCGCCAGAAAGCTCTACAAGCTACGATGGACCGAGAAGAAGAAGATTGGGATATGATCAATGAAGGTATGTCTACAAATTCCTCCGTTCAATTCTGGCTGTAAAATCTAACAATACATCTTACCAGACGCTCCAGTAAGTCAACCTGGGACGCGACTCGGCGCAACATCGCGCTCAAGGACACTGGTTGGAGCCATGGCCGTCGGCGGTAGGTTGGGAGGCAGTAGAGGTGGCGGCAGAGGTGGCGGCAGAAGTGGCAGCAATGCCATGGGCTTCTTCAATCTTTCCTCCGCAGCCACAAGCCTGATGACAAGTCGAGCCCGCTTCTGCTCCTCCACAGCCGACGAAGCAAAAGAAGAAGAGGAAGAATCAGATGAGGACATGGGATGTGGACTTTTTGACGATGTAGAAGAAGCTAGTGCTGGTACGTCCCCCCCCCTCTTATTTTCCTACATTTTTTTTAAAAAAAAATAATTCAAAGTTACTAACTTACCCGACAGTAGAACCACCCTCCCCCATCGAATCCGGAAAATTTCTCCAGAGTCTCATTGCGCTGCAATCCTTCTCCGGCGCTTGGCCGTCCATCTCGCGTCTTCCGTGCCAGAAAATGGGCATCAGCATTGCTGAAGCGAAGGAGGTGGTGCAGAGACTTGTTGACGACGGAGTAGCAAAGGATGTGACGGTGGCGGAACAGTATGTAGCTACGGCTGCGGTGATCAGCTTCTTGGAGAAGAAGATGGCGGATAAGGAGGAGACGTGGGAGTTGGTTGTTGAGAAGGCGAGGACGTGGCTGCAGGATACGGTTGATGCTGCGTATCTTGGCAGGGTGCTGGTGGCTGGTGCGAGTATTGCGCTTGCTTGATGGGCATTTCTATGGTTTGAAGAGGATGGATGGGGGCCTGGAAGAGGAAGACTCGGTTTTCATGATATGCCTAGGGATCATAGGGTTTAATGAATTCAATGACACTATCAGATACAAACTCGTTTAGCATTGGTTCAATACACCATCACCAAAAAAAACAAAAAGCCAGGACAAAAACCTCAAGAGAATACAAGAATTGATTTTTTTGTTCCCTGACGAATTCACGATGCATAACTCCATCGTAACAAGAAATATCTCCACTGCCTATTCATACACTCACACCTGCGCAAACTGAAAAAATAAAAGAAGAAAACACCACACCCCCAAAACCCTAACAATGCCAACTATTTTCATCCATTTCTCCATTACATGACGGGCGTGACGAAGGCGCCGAAGCACGTCGACCAGCTCGCCCAGGAGCAATGCGATTGAGTATTGAAATCTCCAAATTGCTTAGAATTCCTGTTCAAAAATAAAACGCATTAACAAAATGCTTGTAGACGATCATTTGTCTCCAAGCAGGGGCTGTGATTCATGGCCTTCTCCGGGGCCGCCCTTCTTCTTCTTACCACGCTTCTTCCTCCTCTTCTTGTTTCCGCCCTTGCCGCCCGCGTGTGAGGATTCAGCTTCCGAGTGCTTGTTATCCTCGTGACCATTTGATCCGCTGTTGGTGGCTTTATCATCTGTATCGCTAGAACTGGTAGTCTCTAGAACGATTTTCTTGATACCGTTGACGTCGACAACGTTCTCCGAGATGCTGCCACTGCGAGCGGTATGGCGTCTAACAGGACTGTGCGAGGGTGTGGGAACCGTTCGGAGGGAGGCAATAGTGCTGACGGATCGGGATCGGCCTCGGCGTCCCGAACGACCGTTCTCGCTGGTGGCACTCTTGGATAACAGATGCGAAGTCTCGTTGTCAGCTGCTTTACTCTTGGGGGAGGCATTGTCAAGGTCATGGTCCCGCGCTCCTGATCGTCCAGATCTCCAAGACATGCGGTCGCCATTTGGTGCCATAGTACCATATCCCACAGCTACGCTGTGAACTCCATCGCTAGCCTCACGCCCTGCAGATGACAATAGGCCTTCACCAACCCCGCCTTCAGGAGCATGCGAATCTAGTGTAATCACGCCCTCGGTTGGTGCTGGTTCATGGGATGTCTTGCTATCTTCCGGTATCGTCTTTGGAATATCGGGGCCGGTCAGGCTAGTTGAGCCGGGTTTGATCTTGACAGTGTTGATGCGCGTTTGTTTAGGCCGGGTAGCAGCGTTCGAAGGACCGAGATGCTTGAGGTGCTCGATTACGGCAGGATCGTCACTGCGGAGGGGCGACATGCCTGCCTTGCTACCGCTGCTACGACGTCGCAGCATGAATGATGGTTTTGGGTGGCCGTCAGGCATGTCTGGTAGCGATTTGTTACGTGGCGCGGGTGCCTCCCCATCCGTTTCGGTATCGGTAACAGGTGCTTCTGAGAGCTTGCGCGAGGCGTCACTGACAATCTTTCCTCGGGGAACACGAGCGCGTGGGGCAGGTGCCATGCGGCGTATGGCCTTGTGGACATCGATGAAGACATCTGACTCGTCAATGATTTCCCTGCTTCTGTTAGTTCATACTCGACATTCTGTCATAGGCAATGACTTACTCGCCAATGAGCTCTTCAATGACGTCTTCGAGAGTGACGACACCAACGGCACCGCGAGCTTCAGCAGGGTATTCAGAAACCAAGACCATGTGGGACTTGCCCTCTTGGAAGAAATTGAGAATGTCCAGGCAGCTTGTCTCAGGGCGCGTCTCTGGGAGGGTAGCGAGGGCGAAGTCGCGGACGCGCAGTGCATCCTCGGGGTCGTAAGTGATGAGCATCTTGACAAGCAGCATGCCTACAAAGTTGTTTTCGTTCTCAGGAGTATGGATTGGGATGCGCGAGTATCCTGCGGAAAGAATGCTATCCATCATCTTTTCATCGAGGACAGTATCAGATGACATGGTGAAGACATCCTTCATTGGCGTCATAATGTTACCGACGGCCTTGGCCTTGAGGTCCAAGACTGCGGTGATGATGGTAACCTCGTCTTCATTGAGGCGTTCATGCTCAAGTCCGAGGGACTGGTGCAGGCTGACCAGGGTCTTCAATCCGCCCTTCTTGTAAACGGTTCCGTGGTCCTCGCCGAGGAGGTAATCGAGGAGTTTAGCGGTAGGCCAGGCAACAATTCCCATGATGTACATGAGACCGAGGACAATAGGGGACATGGCGGCACCAATGGGCAATCCGTAGCGAACGCATATCGACTGGGGGACGACCTCACCGAAGATGACTGGCACGCGTCAGACGTGGATAACAAACAATAGAGCGGAGTAGACACACCGATGAGCACAGTGGAACTAACAACTGCAGGCCATCCTCCGCCAAGGGACCTGTCGAGCACAATAGGAAGCGTTTCGTTTGTAATGACGTTACTCAAAAGCAATGTCACCAGTACCCAATGCTTGCCTCGCTCGAGGAGCTTGAGTACCCTTTTCGCGTTCTTACGCTCGTGTTTCTCGCCAGATGAAGCAAGGACCTGAAGGTAGATTTCATCCTGGCCCATCAAGCTAGGTGGGAGCTGTTAGTAAAATGGCGCACGACTGGGGAGCTCTATTCAACGTACGCGATGGTCAGACCCGCGAAGACACCACCGGCCAAAACCAGCGCGACAGCAATACCCAGAAACAGCCAGAGCTGAGGGTCATTGGCATCTTTGGGGAGGTCATCGTCGGCCTCCCTCAAAGCGCTGAAAGCGGTGCCAAATGGCATGGGAAGCGCGGCGACCATTGGCGCGAATGCATGGCATAGGCCAATGAAGGCGAGGCGTACGGTGGGAAGAGACGAGCCATTGGGGACGCGAGGACGAGAGGCGCTGAGTGCCATGAGGGCAGCTAGCAAAATGCAAGCACCGTGGTGCGGGGAGATGCAGACGGCGTCTGTATAAGTAAGAGCAGCGAGGCGTAGAGGGCGAAATAGCGATGCGGAAACAGCGGCACGGCCGGCCCGTGCTTGTCTGGCTGCCACTAGGCCCGAAGCTGCAAGTGACTGAGCGCCCAGCTTTTTCCCCAACAAAACAGAACAGCGCTCCCCATGGTGGCAGTATGCAGCCAAGGTCCAATTGCTGGGCAAATCCTTTGCACCGTCTCGAACCTTGATCCTTCGAGACGAGAGCTCTAATACTGCGACGTGCCACTGTGATGGCAGCCACGCGCAGGAACCAGCCCTGCATACATACACGGCGACAGACGATAGCCGAGGCGGCTGCTGCTGCAGGAAGTGACGTGCCCTTAGTCACGTCTCCACCGCGCAAACGGTCGGGGAACCAACGGCGTCATCGTACATTTCTACATGGGTGCGGCATTTTGGTGTGCCAAGGGCTGGCGGTGCCGGTTGGCGTCATCCGATGTGGCTTCATTGTGGCTTGCCCTTCCTTACGTAACCAGCATGTCACGTGCTGCTTCTCTCTCTCGACACAGAGAGCCGCCGTTAGCCGCTTCGTTAACCGTCGGCTCCTCTGTCTCTGTCTACACCCACCATGACCTCCATTCATGTATTTTCCCAGAGCGGTTGCTGTTGCTGTTGCTGTTGGGCAGACGCATTGCTTTGCATCCTAGACACATAATGGCTTCAAAAACACCATCACCTCGCACACTGTCCCGCTACCTGCTGCGGCGCCAAACACTGCTTCGCCCTCGCTGTCACGCCCGCATCCCCAACAGGCCATACTCTGCCGCCGCACCTGGCGCACGCCTCAACGGCACCGTCGAGTACGACACCACTCCGATTCTCAATCACACGGCCAAGTCGACCCTCTCCAACCCCGAGCTGCCTGCAGAGATACGGAATGGCCAGACAAAGCGCATCAACCTGTACACCGCCATCAACGAGGCCCTGCGACATGCATTGCAGACAGATGAAAAAGTCTTGGTCTTTGGAGAGGATGTCCAGTTTGGCGGTGTCTTCCGGTGTACAATGAACCTGGCTGGCGATTTTGGCACAGAGCGCGTCTTTAACACACCACTGAGCGAGCAAGGACTAGTCGGATTTGCCATTGGAGCCGCTGCCGAGGGCATGAAGCCTGTCGCAGAGGTCCAATTCGCCGACTATGTCTTCCCCGCATTCGACCAAATCCACAATGAAGCGGCCAAGTACAGGTATCGATCAGGTAGCACTGGCGTCAACTGCGGTGGTTTGGTCATACGCATGCCAACTGGAAGCGTCGGACATGGTGCACTGTATGACATTACTCAAACCTGTCCTCAATACATGCTAACAAATGATGCAGCTATCACACGCAATCACCTGAAGCTCTCTTCACCCATACGCCTGGTTTGCGTGTTGTAATACCCCGCTCGCCCGTACAAGCAAAGGGCCTTCTTCTGTCAGCCATCCAATGCCAAGACCCTGTCATTTTTATGGAACCCAAGATACTCTACCGTGCCGCTGTTGAGCAGGTCCCAGTGGATGCGTACCAGCTTCCTCTCGACAAGGCGGAAATTCTCAAGACTGGCAAGGATCTGACAATCATATCCTACGGCACCCCACTATACACATGTTCGGCCGCCATAACAGCCGCTGAGAAGGATCTCGGATGCAGTGTAGAGCTGATTGATCTCCGGACCATCTACCCTTGGGACCGGGAAACAGTACTAGAAAGCGTCAAGAAGACTGGTAGAGCAATCGTAGTGCACGAAAGCATGATGAATGCCGGTGTTGGCGCAGAGGTTGCTGCGACCATTCAAGAAAAGGCTTTCCTAAGACTCGAGGCTCCAGTCAAGAGAGTTACAGGTTGGGCTACCCATACAGGCCTCATGTTTGAGCAGTTTGTCATTCCTGATGTTACAAGTAAGTCGACAGATATTTCCATTTACGTATCCTATGCTAATCTAATCAGGGGTGTATGACGCCATCAAGAAAACATTAGACTACTAAACGAAGATACGATAGACATCACATTCGAAACCAAAATTTTACGACTTCAGAAGCAACGAGAGTTATCATTTATTTCATGTCTTTGTCCAGCGTCATCTCCACGCCCTGCATCGCCAGTGACTTCCGTGCTATGTGATTCTTGTGCAAAATATCGGGGACAAGTTTTCCCCAACCTGCTTTGCAATTCACGTGTTTGTAGCATGATGGTCCACACGTGAGATCGCCGTTGTTTTCATCGGTATACCCACCTTACTCCACATAAGCTTACACTTTCCCCAGATTTTCGCTTCCCTCTAGCGGCGGGAGTCCCTTGCGCTAAATCGCTAAGCTCCACCAGACGCTCTCGCGCAAACGTCATGACTTTTCACATTTAGTCCGGAGTAGAACCAGTCGTTGGGGTGCAACAACGTCACAGCTGTCATAGCTCCTGGGTTTCTGCGCTACCGTTGAATCTATGTAACTGGAATTTTTGTATGAACTTCTTCCTTTCTTAATTTTCCATACACACAGCATTAACATCTAGCTCTTCAATCTACAAAACAACATCTAGTATTAGAGAGACCTTGTACATCAAAATGGCCAGCCGGACTATTACACCTATGCTTCGCCAGACTCTCCGCGTCTCACAGCGAAACATCATCGCAGCACCATGCCGTCGTTTTCTGAACACCGAGACTGCACCTAACCTCTACTCTGCGCGCGCAAAAGTTGTCGGAGCACGAACAGGGTATGCCACAAATCCCTCAAGTTTATGTATAGTACCGAAATAGTTGCAACTGACAAGATTACTTCAGCCATGTTGACGGTGAAAATCTCAAAGTAGAATTGACAATGGCCAAGGCCCTCGGTGGCGCTGGCGACAAGGGAAAAACCAATCCCGAAGAGCTCTTCGCTGCGGGATATGTACGTCCTTCTACATGACTTCATGTCTATCATCTAAGCCTTCTAGCTAATCAACTACCTTAGGGTGCATGCTTCCAATCCGCAATGAATGCTTCCGCAGCCTCGCTCGGCATCAAGATGCCCACCACGCCCGAAGACTCCATTGTAGAATCGACAGTCGAGCTTGTTGGCAGCATGAAGGATCTCGACCTCGGACTGCGAGTTAACTTGCTAGTCAAAGTGCGAGGTCTTTCTGAACAGGAGCTAGAGAAAGTAGTCAATAAGGCAAGAGAAGTGTGCCCGTATAGCAGGGCGACACAGGGAAACGTTCATACGACTATAAAGTGCGAGACCATGTAAATCTTGCATCAACACCTCATGTACATACACATAAATTGCCGTTCTACATGATAGCGACTTTAAGGCCAGACATTACAACCGTGCATCTTTCTCAACCTCAACAACGGCCGCCAACGTCCCCTCGCCCACATCCTCCCCGTCCTCCACTTCCAACACCCAACTTACCCGTCCTCGTCGATGAGTCCTGACTTCCAACTCCATCTTCATCTGCTGCACAACACAAATCACATCCCCTTCCTTAACCACATCCCCCTCATCCACCAGTACCTCTACCAGCTTCCCAGGGAAAGGAATAACAACATGCGACGCATCCGCCACATTCCCCCTTCGATGCTGTGCAGTCGCCGCAGCCGCACTAGCAGACGTAGCCGCCAACGTAATCGTATACGGCACTGACTTTGGACCCTCCGCCCCCGCCGTAGTAAACAATACATCCGCCGTCAGCGAAGCCGGGAAATCATTCCTTAGCACACGCGTGATTTCCAGATGACTCTGCACTGCATCATTCTTCTCTTTAGATTCCAGCGCAAGCGCCCACGCATCTCCCTTCCTAAACAGCGTATTCGGCGCAGCAACAGCCCCAGTCGCCGCTCCTGCCGCCGCAGTTCCCACATCAAGTCCATTTGCCTGCTCCTTCGCAGCGAAAGCTTGGCTCTGCTGCGTCAGTTCCTCCTGTCGTCCCTCCAACCACTGCGTGTCGCATTGTCCCGCTAGAAAATCCGGATGCGCCATTATCGCCTTGAGCATATCGATATTCGTCTTTACACCCGCAATATACGTCTCATCTAGCGCTCTCCGCGCCTTTCTTACCGCATCCGCCCACGAAGACGCTGTGACGACGACTTTGGCTATCAAGCTGTCGAAATCGGCGCTTACGATGCTGGGACGATTGGCGAGCAGGTGCGTATCGATTCTTATACCGTTTCCAACGGGGAAGTTGAAGGAGGAGATTTTGCCGATGGAAAGGGACCAGTTTGATTGCGTGTTTTCGGCTGTGATGCGCAACTGGATTGAGTGCGCGGTGGGCGGTGTGGAGGGGGAGCGCGTGGTCAAGGGTAAACCGCAGGTGGAGAGTGTGGCACCTTGGGAGAGGAGGAGTTGGGACTTTACAATGTCCGTGGTTGAGAGGGCCTCGGTGATTGTGTGTTCGACTTGGAGGCGCGGGTTTACTTCGAGGAAGTAGTAGAGTTGCGTGGTGGGGTGCACGAGAAATTCGAACGTGCCGAGAGAGAAGTAGGATATCTTTGAAATGTCAGTGGCAAGATTCGGGTTAAGAGAAATTGGAGGGGGGGGGAGGGGATGACGGACGTGTCGAGCCATTTTCAGGGCGTCTTCGATTATTTTTGCAATGAGAGGGCGGTTGGGGACGAGGCTGGGGGCGAATTCGACGACTTTTTGATAGCGGCGCTGGATGCTGCATTCGCGTTCCCAGAGGTGTGTTACGTTACCTGTGCCATCGCCGATGATTTGGACTTCGACGTGGCGGAAGCCGTCCACTGCTGCTTTTTCGGCGAAGACGCTCTTTGATGGACTCTCTTCGACTGCTCGTTTCACCGAAGAAGCGAGTTCCTCTTCATTTCGAATCAATCTGATACCACGACCGCCGCCTCCATCTACAGCCTTAACCATGATAGGATAGCCGACTCTTGAGGCAAACTTCTGGACATCTTCGACTTTGTTGGTGGGTTTCTCAAGTGCTGGAGATATCGGGACGTTGCCTAAACAGAAATTAGTCTGACTGAATGACAATGGATTTCACATGTCACGTACACGCCTCAGCAAGCTGTCTGGCTTTAAGCTTATCCCCAGTATTACTTAGAATACCCCACCCAGGACCAACAACCACTGCACCTGCTTCATCCCACACTCTTTTGCAAAATTCTTCCGACTCTGAAAGAAAACCGTATCCAGGGTGCACCGCGTCAATTTGGTGGTGTTTGATGGCTTCAATGAGTTTATCGGTGCTCATAAATGTTGCTGCAGACTCAAGCCGAATTGCATGGGCTGCTCGTACAGCATGCGTTTCATCTCCAGAAGTGTAGATGGCGTACGTTTCAATGTCGAGTTCTCGGGCTGTGGAGATGATGCGAGTTGCTATTTCTCCTCGATTGGCAATCAAAAGACGCTTGATGGGTCTTTGGGGTGGTCGATCCATTTCTTTTGGTTGAAATTAGTTGGGACTAAACAATTCGTGTTCAAGAAGTAGCTAGTAGAGTCACCGGTTCGGCGCCTGCGGGAAGTGACTATGGCATGTGGGTCTGTCAGAACAGAGAAGAGGCAATGTTGATTCCAAAGTATGAACAGAAAGGAATCTCGCTCGTTCCAGATATGAGCCCTGTCTATGTCTACCGAAGGATACGTAATATCCGCCCTATTCAGACCCATAAATACGATGACGATCTGGGTCAAACGACTTCGGCATTGCCGTCGACTAGTCTACATGCGGGAAATATGCCTCGGTTCCCCGGCGTTACCCCAACATTCGACCGCACCACCTGTGTATCAGGTCAACTCCTTCCAATGTGACTTTCTTAACAGGGTCCCTCGCAAGAATTCTGTTTTGTAGTAGAGCAATTGCATCTGATAATCTCTGATCTTCTCATAATGGCCGGCGACGAGCAGAAGAACTCCCCACCCACAGACGCGTCAACGCCGTCCGATTCTGCGAAAGCTAGGCTTGAGCAGGTCAGCTCACACATTGCGCCAAACACGCCGAAGCGACGGCGGAGAAAGGCTACAGATTCAGATTTACCAGCTGATTACTCGGATATTCTTGGTCAGATTGCGACGCTCCGCAAGACCGCTGCGACTCCTGATACTAGCAATCGAGGCTACTTGCGCCAGAAGCAGGCAGGAAAACTATGGGTGCGCGAACGAGTCGAGCAGCTGCTTGATGAGGGTAGTTTTCAGGAAGTTGGTAGTGTTAGCGGGACTGTCAAGTGGAAGCAGGTGGGGCCGTCGAAGGAAGAGCCAGAAGAATACGTACCTTCGAATAATGTGCAAGGTAATGTTCTACGTGAGTTATGTGAGCGGGAGATGCTGACGAATTACAGGATTTGGAAGGTTAAGAGGAAGAAAAATCGTTTTTACGGCTGATGACTTTTCGATACGTGCTGGGCATGCTGATGGGTCGTTGATGGAGAAGACGGTAAGTTTGAATCATATATTAAACTTGCACGCATGCTCATAGATCTAGTTGTACATGGAGAAGCTTTCTCTTTCACTTAAACTTCCGATTGTGAAGCTTGTAGATGGCTCTTCTGGTGGAGGCTCTGTCACTACGATTCGCTCCTGGGGTTACTCCTACATTCCACCACTGCCAGCTTTCGAACACGTCGTAAGCCAACTCAACGCCGGCATACCCAATCTGGGTGCAGTTTTGGGTCCGGCCATTGGCTTAGGAGCCGCACGCGTAGTTGCTTGCCACTTCTCTGTTATGGCTGGAGACATTGGATCATTATTCAATGCAGGACCAAACGTCGTCAAGAACGCCACATTTGAAGAAGATCTGTCAGTAACCGACCTTGGAGGTCCCGCGGTCCACTGTACAAATGGCACAATCGACAACCTAGCACCAGATGAAGCAGGCTGTTTCGAACAAATCAGAACAGTCCTCAGCTACCTTCCAGACTGTGGCACAAAACTTCCCCCAACAATCAACTGCACCGACCCCATCGACCGCACATCACAAACTCTCCGCTCAATCATCCCACGAGCCAAAAACCGAATGTACAACCCCCGCGCCATCATAACCGAAGTCGTCGACCAAAACTCCTTCTTCGAAATCGGCGCCCTCTGGGGTACCACCGCCATTGTCGGCCTCGCCCGCTTGTCGGGCAAACCCATCGGCATCGTCTCCCTAAACTGCGAAGTCAACGCGGGCGCCCTGGACGCACTCGGCTCCCAGAAAATAACCCGAATGCTAAAATTTCTCGACGTCTTCAACATCCCCCTGCTCCAATTCGTCGATATACCCGGCTACGCCATCGGCACCGTCGCAGAACGCAGCGCGACGATGCGCCATGGAATCACGCTCGCCCGGACTTACTACAGCACCACGATGCCCATCTTCAACGTCATTGTGCGCCGCGTGTACGGCGTCGCTGGCGGCGTCATGCTAGACTGCCGGGACCCGCGCATGCGCGTTGCATGGCCGTCTGGAACCTGGGGCTCGTTGCCGCTCGAAGGCGGTATCGAAGTCGGGCACTCGTTTGAGCTCAAGGAGGTTGAGCGGACGCATGGTAAAGAAGCGCGTGAGATGCGGTATAAAGAGCTAGAAGCGGAGTATAGGCGGTTGATGAATCCGGTGCGCACGGCGAATGCGTTTGGGATTGAGGAGATTATTGATCCGGCGTTTACGCGGCGCGTGTGCTGTGAGTGGGTGGGGCATGTGTATGAGAGTTTGTTGCCTGAGAGGGTGTTGGAGAGGGTGGCGGGCAAGTTGCAGCCTTCGTTTTCGTAAAGGGGTTGCGGTGGGGTGGGAGTGAAGTTGGGTGTTGAGGGTGGATGAAGATAGAATGTACTATACACCAAGATTTTGCTGTGCGTAACGAGATATTCCAAGTATCCACATCACCTGAATCAACATGGGAGAGTTTAGTATTTTACATAGTCATTCACACAAATAACTACAATCCGCATTCTTTCAAACAAAAGGTTCTTTCTTCAACCCGAGACGTTCGGCATGAGATTCCCACAGCACAACGTTCTGTCGATTACCCAACTCTCCACTTCTAGCCCACTATGCATTTTTTTTCTTACGATTTTCTGTTCTGTGAGATAAAATTGATACGTATGAACTTCCAAAACCAGCCACACCTAACTACCTAATATCATCATGATGTTTTCTTTTTTTTAGATTCAAAACTACCCCTCACCCCCACCAAGCCCCACACTTCAAACTCTAACCTATGCAAATGCATTCAGGTCTCTCTCCATTCCCAGCATATTGTTCGTGTTAGGTACGTGCCGTTAATTTCAGCTGCATTATATAAATTTTACAACTAAGTAAATTAGCATCGGTTTTGTAGTGTAGCGGTTATCACTCCGGATTCTGATTCTGATATCAGATGATTTCCGGCAACCCCGGTTCGATTCCGGGCAAGACCTCGTCTATTCAAGACTTTTGGGACCTTTTCTTGAGACAAATTTTCGGGATACCTTTTTCAAAACATTACTGTGTCATCTTCTAAGTGATCTTCCGAGATCACTTTCGAGATATTTCGTGAGCAACCTTTCGTGTCTTTTTTTTTTACTGCTGTCAACGTCATTGCTTGCATTGAGTGAAGAAAGAACGAGTTATACAAAGCGGTAACATGATTTTGTATTTGTAGTTTAGACGCATTTTTAGGAGTGGCTGTTCTTAGGAGCGAATCACAACATAAGGAACGAGAGATGTCCTTGATTCTTAGTGGGGTTTTTTTTCCTAAATATACGAATTAGCTGGTACGGGCGTTAGTATGAAAGAAAAAAAGAACTTCAATCATTGTGCACTTCTCAAAATTATATTGATGATTTATTTCTAGTCTCACTTATTCAGACACTCCGAGAGGCTGAAGAAACATGGTAATGTCGGGTATGTCCTCCATCCTGTCTTGACCCATTAGTTGCATCCTCTAAGCCTTCCCACTACTTCCACAGATATCCATCCACCTCTCCGTCTCCTTCTGTATCGCCTCCATTTGCATATCGATCAACTTTGCCAGCAAGGTTGTCGATGCATTCTTCCGCAGGATTTCATTGCCGGCTTCGAGCAACAGTTTGTTTACGTTGAGCTTGATGGCGCCGGATCGTATGCAGCGTTGCATGACCTCTGGGGGAAAATCGTTGGTACCGTGTAAGGCGATACGTACGCGCTTGTTGACCTGTTTGTTTATTGACTCGAGGCGATTGTAGTGCAACTGGCCTTCTTTGGGACCAGCGGGACCGTAATCGCCGTGTATGTTGCCGATGGAAGGGGCTAGGATGTCGATACCGGCGTTGATGAAGTTATCGACGTCTTCGGGTGATGTGAAGAGAGCTGTTGAGATTTAGTAACTAATTGAGATTTTGAAATGCAGGTCTGCTCACCCTGAAGATCTCCTGTATCAGCAATGCCATCCTCACCGCCTTCAATCCTTCCACTTTCGGCTTCGACAGCAATCCCTTTGTCATGACACTCCTTGGTGAGTATCCTAGTCTTTTCCAGGTTCTCGGCCTCGTCATAATGTGACATATCCACCATGACAGAGTCTACAGGCAGAGTTTCAATGACCTCCCTGATGTGCTCGACATCTTGTGCGTGATCAATGTGGAGAGAAAGTGGTACTGTGGCTGTTTTAACGGCATGTGCAGCAGCGTGAGCGAGCAAAGGTAGTTGCTTGAGTGTCGATGGGAAAAGTTGAATTATGAGAGGAGATCGTTTGGCTTCGGCGGCACGCACCAGTGCAGTCAACTGTTCCAAATTATATCTGAGATTCCTTAGTTTTTTCCAACGTATCCGCACATGCTGTCTTACGCAATGGCAGCCATGACGCCATAGTTGCCTGCCTCGGCGGCATTAAGGATGGCCAGTGTACGGTTTTCTTTGCTGGCAGTCATGATGACTGAGTTGTATATGTCTATATGAGAGCAGGGGAGTCAACAACAGTGCGGACAAGTTAGTCACAAGAATGTATGGTGGCTTGGTGCTTGTGATTCACGATTCCGAGAGGACTCGGAACTGAAGCAATACAGGATGACATGATGACGGAGCAAATTTTAGGTCCGGAGAAGACGCGGAGATGCTGGGCCACTGATTGGAGCGCGAGACGAGCAGCCTCACTGCTCCTCATGCTGCATGTATGAAATGGCTGGGCAGAGCGGGAGGGAGAGTTGGTGCCCGCTGCAAGTGCGGAAACAGATGTGCCGCGGTTGTGCCTCGACACGAGGCGCAAACATGCAGACCACCGGGAAGGCCCACTCTCAGCAACCTGCACTCCGCTTTTACCCCATCCTATTGAGCTTCACATGTCCTACCCCGCGATGGATTTTGTGGAGAGCGGAAAAGATTCCACTACTCGCCGATAACCGTCACGGTATGCTCAAAGCGTCCCATAGTTCTTAAGCGTTGCTTATACTCGTTCCTAGCTCCAGTACCCAGGCACGCTAATATGAGATTGCGCTACTAGTACGACTCAATCCAGATTGATTTTAGCTGCATAGTGGAGTCTCCTCTGGTCGTACGAGCGGAGTATTGCGGCAAACGTGCCGAGCATGTATGTCGGCATGTGTACACGGTTGTGGGGGTGGGGTGGGGTGAGATTTGAGTACTACAGTTTTAATCATGATTCAGCACTCCAGTAGTTGGCAAGGTCCGCGAGTAATGTTTTTGGCGGGAATCTTGTAATGTCAAGAGTCTGCTCCAAAAGATGCATGATCGCCGTCTGCTTGACTGGGTCCTGTACGCATAGACCAGCTAAACATTGTAAGCATGATTTTAAATGACGTATATAATGGTTGCACGCTTACCAGCGTAAATGGCCTGGATATTGCTCATGGCACTGGGTATGTCTTTTGATTGATGCGACGACGCAATACCGCATATCGTTTCGACACTCTCATCCATAGCTCGTTGTCGAACTCGAAATTCATCGATACCTCCTATGGATGGCTGGTTGATGAGAACCAGGATTCGTCCAACGTGAAAGCTCTGAACGGCAGCCGCAAACGAAGGGGGGTGGATCCAGATGGGTGTGAATGATTCACCTGGCCTGAGTGGGGGCCCTCGATAGATGGGCTGGAACGAAGAAGGAAGTGCTTTATGCCAATCTTCAAGCGCTTGGAGGAGCTTTCCGGCTTGCTCAATGCGCGTATTTATGTCATACTTTTTCTCGGTCGCAGCAAAGTCTATACACCTTCCGCAAATGTACACAATACGCAGGGCTAATTCGTCGGGATTCAGGTCCATCAAACGTTTGGTAGGCCTCCATATAGTCAGAACTCGTCGCCCTTCACGAAAAGCAACCCATGAATCTTGACGTAGCCACTGCCACCAAGCAGCCCTTCGCAGCGGGTCTCTGCATTCCCCATTGTTGTTTTGGCTCCTTTGAATCCAAAATATACCACGAAGATGCCTTTCCCATGCACCATTGCTGTATTGGCCCTCGGAGTCCCACATCTCATATGTGCTGATGAGGATGGAGGTTGAGATGATTTCCCTCGATTTCGAGTATGAAGGGTAGAAAAGGTTCTTGGAGAGATAGTGCAGCGTTTCATAGTAATACTGGGTTGCGGCTTGAAGCAATGGGTTTCGTAAATTGGCACTGGTGCTTTCGGGTTTCGGTGCAGGGTCTTGGAGGCTGAGTTGGTGCAGTTGCGGCTCACTCAAGAGCGCCATGTGACGCGCAGCTACAGCAAGCAGGGACTTTAGCAAACCCACGTTGTGAACGGCTAGGCCGGGTACAACCGTGGTAAATTGCTTGGAAGGGTCACTCAGATCCAAAATGGGTCCAATGACACTGACGTAGTGCCTGAAAAGAACAAGCTCATCGTCTGTGATGGGTATCACGTTGGTAGAGTTCCATTGCTCTTGCATCTGGGAGTCGGATTCGGCCTGTTGCCCCTGGTGGCTCAGCTGGGGATCTGCATTCGGCGTTCCTGCGTCGGGGCTCTGAGCTCGCGACATGGCAGTCCTCTCCAGGTCGAGATTCAAATTATACTTGTCAATATTGTTCATGGCATCTTCGGCAAGCAAGTCGTAATAGGCTAGTGGCGCCGAATTGGGCGATGGCAGAGAATTGATGACAGTTGAAGGAGACTCAAACAAGAGTTCAGGCGAGGCTTGCCAAACCTGGGGATCGATTTCCCGAGGAAGGGGTCTTCTCGCAGAGGCTGCTGAGCCCGGGGAAAAGGCTGTCGAGGCAGGTGAAAAGGCAGCAGACGGAGAGGCATCTTCATGTGCAGGCGACGTGGACTGCACCGAGCCTGAGACGGTGCTCGGTGTGTCTGCCAACACATCCTTTGAGGATGAGTAGACGCACTCTCGGTCTGACTTTGTGCATGTTGCACACCGAGGCCTGAGTTCGTCACATTTGACCCTTCTCCGTCTACACGTAAGACTAGGCGGGTTAGCAGAGGTTCCGATGCAGCAGGCTTGATCGTCCAGCGGGTCTTGGTGACGCGTTGGAGCGATGGCATGGGGAGCTTACCAACCGGTTGTTGTGCGGAGACCCTGTCGAGGGCGGAAAACATCGGGTCAGTGAAAATGGCACAAAGGGTGGGTGGGCGTGGACTTACTCGCGCTCTTGAAGGGCGGGGTTTTCGAGGCTTAGGAGGGCCTGTAGAGGATGCTGGCATCACGAACAATGTCGTGCATGCTGGTAAGACTTCGCGTCAAGGTCCTTGTGTCTTCGCTTAGGACTCGGACCTGACCGCGTGGGGAAGCAAGAGTTGGAGACAAGACCAGCTACGCCAGGACCGAATAGGCTTCTGGCGGATAGTGCTGGAAAGGATTATTTCTCGCAGGAAATGGCAGCAGCAGCAAGTACTGTGGGCATCTGAAGGGGCGGCAATGGTGCAGAATGCATGCGACTTTGGGAGGCGACAGACCCCGCGCCAGGCCTGAGCACTATCCCCGTCCGGCTCAAGAAGGGATGCCTAATATATTGGCCGCGTTGCCTGAGCACTGCAACTACTTCGGTTCAGACGGTTTCCAGGACACGCAAATAATATCCTCAGCGAACTAAAGAAATAATCATCCTGAGGGGGAGGCCCAAGCCACGGCGGGAGTGGCATGGATGCCCGCGGGAGGCTGACTCATTTGTCTCTGTCTCGCTTGCCGTCTGCCGCGGGAGCTCCTTCCGTGCAATGGATGAGCATGCCCGCCCTCACTCCAAACTCCAACCCTCGCCTCTCCACCAACCCCAACATTGCCAGTGCACGCACAAACCAACACACACACACACACACACTCTCTTTGCATCAAAACCCAATGGATGTTCATTCATCCTCACAGCCAGCAGGCCGGCCATCTATCACGCAAACTCCGCCCAATGCAGCACTATCATGAAACAAACGAAACGCGCACAAATGAACAGCCACAGCCGCCTCTATTACCATGCGCCGACAATGCCTGCCACGGGGATGTCAATGCCGGTCGTATAACTGGCTCCGTCGGAGAGCAGATATACGTAGGCTCCGCCAAGTTCGCGAGGATCAGCCAGTCTCGGCATGCCACCATAATATTGCATCTTCAGATTCCAGTCAGGCGCTTTCTCAACATAATACGTCATCTGCGTTCGCACGAAACCGGGCGAAATGGAATTGACACGAATCCCATGCTTCGCCCACTCCATGGCTAGTGTGTGCGCCATGTTGCGAACAGCCCCCTTGGTCCCTCCATATGGCGCCGACGGTGCTGCCCGGTTCGGGCGGTACGAAGTCATGGATGCAGTGAAGACAATCGACCCCTTTATGCCCAGCTCAATGAACTTCTTCGCTGCTGCCGTCGCGCAAAAGTAAGCGCCGAACACATTGAGGTTGAACAGCTGCTCCAGCTGAGGGCGGTCAAAATTGAGCGCTGGCTGATGCTTGGTCATTCCCGCGTTGGCAATCATGCCGTCTATACGGCCCGATTCAGCTACAATCTGGTCAACCGCCTTGTTGACGCTTTCCTCAGACGTGACATCGCAGTGCAGGTAGTGCACACGCTTGGGGTTCGCCTTTTGAAGCGCCTGGAAATCCTCGCCTGGTTCAAAGAGGTCGAGCGAATATATCTCTGCCGCGTCGTTTGCAAGGCATACTGTTGCAAGTCCCAGGCCAATGCCTGTAAGTACCCATTAGTGTCGTTCCCGAGCGTCAGAGAGGGGTCGGCCAACCTCTGTTTGCGCCAGTGATGGCGATCACTTTGCCCCTGAGGGTGATTTTCCAGTCAAAATCCTCCTTTGGCTCAGTGGTCAGGTAGACGGGGTTCGGCACGCTCTGCTCGACTTGGATGCCATTGACGTGACCATTGGGAGGCGCCGTCTGGTCTGCCTGCGGCACGATTGCAGAAGGAGACATGAGTGGAATGCGGTTAAAAACAGGCTGCTTGATGAAGTCTATTGATAAATGGCAGGTACGGCGAGCTGAGATACTTAAACCGGTGGATGGCTGGACGCCTACTTCACAGGCTCCCCGCATGTTTAAGTACACCACATTTCCTTAACCCCACACCAGCCCGTGGCAAGACAATCTGTTTACTTCGCTACCGAGGATCCCTGGAAAAGAGTGACGCGTATTGTCACCGTACCGGAAATCTATCCGATAGTAAACCAACACCAGAACGAGTTCGTGGCGAATGCATGTACACCCAGCCGGCAGCAGCTGATTTGGTCCTCGCCAGCGAGCTCGCTTATTGACACACTCTCGCATCGAGCCATACTTTTATGCATGCAGTTCTGTGGACAGTGGCAGCCAATCGTTGCCACCACTGCATCAGCCCAGCTGGACCGCATTTGGTAATCTCGGCTAATGTTCTAAGACCTGGGGTACTAGGGGAACAAGGGCCGATCCACTGTGGGGATCGATACAACTTCGGCACTTCTGGGCAGTCAACATCAAATCTTGAAAAGACAACAAAACGACTTTGCAGAGAAGATCTATAAAGCTTCAAGCTGTCGCACAATAGAAAGGACGTCTTTGCGGCTATCTCTAGAAAGTCGCAGACGATACCCTTTTATCCCCCCTGCAAAGCGTACCGCATACTTGGTTTTTTTCGTGTAAACAGTTGCTTTTTCACACCAAGACACCATGTCGTCAACACACCATTCGTTCGAAGCCGGCGACATCAAAAATATGGATACAACAAAACAGATCGAGGTGTCTGAGGACTTTACTTGGATACCTGAGGAAGAGAAGCAGTTGGTGAAGAAGATCGATTCTTTCCTGCTTCCAACCATGTGGTTGATGTATCTGTTGTCTTATATGGACCGCACAAAGTAAGCTGCTTCCGGAAAATTGAAGTTGCAAAGACTGATCAAGGACCAGTATTGGCAACGCAAAGATTGCTGGCATGGCAGATGATCTGGGTCTTACTTCCAACCAGTACTCAATTGCTCTAGTTGTCTTCTTTGTCACATACGTCGCCTTTGAACCGCCTTCAAATATGCTCTTGGTCCGACTAAAGCCTTCCGTATACCTTCCTGTCATCATGGCCATCTGGGGCGCTTTGACTTGTGTTATGGGCGCTATCCACGACTTTAAGCATCTTGTTGTGCTTCGTATCTTTGTCGGAGTGTTTGAATCTGGCTTTGCCCCAGGTATCATCCTCATCATCTCGTCCTGGTACAAGAAGGACGAGCAGTCGAAACGCTTTGGTGTGTACATGTCAGCAGCCATTCTCAGTGGCGCCTTTGGAGGTCTCCTCGCTGGTGCTATTACTGGAGGTATGGAGGGAACTGGTGGTCTACGTGGGTAAGTGGATCTTCAATGCTAATCTCAGGATTTCGAATTTTGAAACATACTAATCCATGTCCGTGTAGCTGGCGTTGGCTATTCATCATTGAAGGAGCTGCAACTATTGTCTGGGCTGGAATCGCCTCTTTCCTCCTTTTGGATTTTCCAGCAAATACCAAGCGGTTGACTGATCGCGAGCGGCTCATCGCTACTGCACGTCTCCGAGGAAGTGGTATTCAGACATACGTGAGCGGTGATGTAAGAATTGGCAAGCTCAAATCTTTCCGCCTCGCAATCATGGACTGGAGGACTATCGGATTTGTCCTTGGTTATATGGTGAGTAGTTCGTCGTGTTTGTCAAAACCATGTGACTAATACCTTGGAGGTCATTGTCGGCTCTTCCACCCTCTCGTACTTCTATCCCACGTTGGTCAATGGCCTCGGTTACAAAGACACCGTCACCGCACAGTACATGACCGTTCCGATCTACGCTGTCGCATTCGTCTGCACCGCAGTAACAACATACTTTGCCGACGCTATTTCCATGCACCGTGGTCTTGTAATTGCATGTTGGCTCACGTTTTCGCTTATAACCTCGATCCTGGTCTGTGTGATCTACAACTTCACGGCACGTTACGCCCTCCTCGTCCTCATGGCTGCTGGTCTGTGGTCATCCAACGCCGTTTCGCTATCATACGCCAGCGCGACATTTGGATCCATGGAGCCTGAAGTCAGGGCTATTGCTATCGCGCTTGTCAATGCACTTGGAAATCTGGCGCAAATATACGGCGCGTACCTTTTCCCAGCTGATGACAAACCAAAATATCTCATGGGCTTTGGCGTTATTTCAGGAATGTTGGGCTTTGGTGTTGTTGTGTACATTTTCTTGCATGTTACGCTGAGGCGCAAGGATGGGTTGAACAGTTTCTTCTAGAGGACAGGATGAATTGTTGTTTTTGTATGTACCATGATAGACTGTCAATACTGGTGGTGACTGCATGTATCGTATCAATGAGCAAGAAATAGATTACATAGATTTATACCATGAAATTAGGCGTCTGAGAAACAGTACTATCTACACAGTCATTATTATACATACATCCCATCCCAAAGCCAGAGTAAAAAGCTCTCCAATGTACATTCTAAACTAGCCAAACAAAATTCAGTATACCATCTCCCCCATTCTTCCCTCCCAACACCATCAAACCTCCTCACCTCCCAGAAACCCCACGCCACACAAACATCCTAAGCCTACTCCACCTACTCCCTCCCCGTCCCCCCAGCTGCACACTCTCGTACGAATACCCCACCACCCCCGGTCCCCCACTTCCCCCTTGCCATGCAGCACCCCCAGCACGCGAAGCCGGAACAATAGAGTATCCCTTGTCTGCGCCTCGTCCTTGCACAGCTGTAGCTCCTCTCGTACCGGAAGCTGCATTCTCGACACTAACTTCACCACGGTTCTGATTCCCAACTGTGCGTTGTGCGCCTTGCGCCGATGCAGCGGTACGAGCGCCCTGGCTGAACGGAGAGCGCTGGCTATATGCTCTCGAAGCAACGGTGTTGGCATAATTTCGGGGCTGCGATATGCGTGTCCCGCTGGCATTGGTGGCTTGTGCACATCTGGCATATCTGTTTGATGGTGCTGTTCTTCCGTGATGGGAACTTTGCTGGGCGTAGCTGCCGTGTCTATTCCATGTTGTTCTTCCTTGATTAGAAGTTTGTTGGGCGTAATTACTCTGTCTGTTCGGTGTTGCTCTACCGCGAGTGGAAGCGCCGTACGGCGCGGCGCTGGTGTTGCTTCTGATGGCGTTGGACTGTGGGAGTGCGGTGTGGTTGTAGTTGGTTCCGCATTGTGTTGCTGTTGGGTTTCCGCGAGAGTTGCGGGCCCAGGGCATGTTGCATGTGGAGGGTTGTGTGGTGCTTGGGGTGGGGGAGAGGTAGCAATTTCGGGAGTTTGGGTCGCTGTCTGTTTAAAAATGTGTTAGAAAGGGTGTGTTTCTTTGAAGGGGGGAAGATGTACGGAGGTAGAGGGGTGGAGGGACGGGTGATTTGAGGAAGTTACAGATACCCATTGTGTTTTGGTGGAGATTTCAGATGTGTTTAGTATGAAGTGTGCAGTGTTCAGTATGCATGTGTGTATGTGAGCGTGGGGAGAGCTGCTCAATGGATATATTGTAGTAGAGAAAAGAAGTTGCGGGATATTTTTAAAGGAAACTGGCAACTTGAATGGAGTTTGTAAACACTGAAGGACTTCACTGCTGCTACAGCTATGACAGCACGGTCAAAATGGAATAGTCGGTGGTGAACATTATCCAAATATGCACATCAACCAACTTCATCGAGACTATTCTTCTGAATGTTAGGAAACAATGGAAAGTACGATTGTATATCCAAGCAATCTTTATCTGAAGCCGTCTTTTTTGTAGCAATGTAGCTAAATTTTAACGGCTTATTTGAAATCGCGTCATATGAACAGCAGTAGCAGTGACATGACAGGGACGCGCCATCTCAGGGACCCTTGTCACATGTCAGAAACGAAAAATACGCTTGATTTCTCGCCAACAGCATCATGGCATTTCCCATTCTGGTTTCCCAGCCCAATTCATCAAAACAAGATCATTCATTCATTGAATCCTCATAATGAACAGTGATGCAATAAAGTCATTCATAGAAGTGGTCAGAATATAGTGTTGCTGGTATATGGCTCCATCTCCCCAACCGCTTCCATCCCTCATCTCTACTCTAATAATCCTCCTCATCCTCATACCTCCGCTCCTCCTTTCCCTCGTCATACGCATCCCCCATGTTATCCCCAAATCTCTCCACACCACCAACCATGTTATCCCACTTATTCTCGATATCGTCTGGGATATCTTCAACCTCCTGGACCTTGTCACCCGTCCACCTGGCTGCGTCTTCAGGGAAATCCTCAACCTCCTGGACCTTGTCACCCGTCCACCTGGCTGCGTNTCAACCTCCTGGACCTTGTCACCCGTCCACCTGGCTGCGTCTTCAGGGAAATCCTCAACCTCCTGGACCTTGTCACCCGTCCACCTGGCTGCGTTTTCAGGGAAATCCTCGACGTTCTGGACACCATCGTCCCATTTCTGTTCGACATTGTCGCCGAAGTTCTCGGCGCGGCCGACTTGCTCGCCGGTCCAGTGCGCGGCGTTTTCGGGGGCGTCTTCGACGTCGTCTTTGAGTTCGTCCATTTTTTCGCCTGTTTGGAGGGAACCATGTTAGCAAAGTTTTTTTATTTGAGCAAAGTGCGGTGATGGGAGGATGGAGAGAGTGGGGGTCCTTACCAATTTTATCACCCTCGTGCATTAGTAGAGCTCCACCTGCAAGTCCAGCGGCACCCGCTGCGGCGTACTTCCAGCCATTGCCTCCGCTCTTCTTCTCCTCTGGCTGGGAGCCACGTGTAGGGTCGTATGCGCTTTGGTTGTATGCACCCTGATTGCTGTAGCCACCCTGGCCGTAGCCATATCCGCCCTGTGGTGGTGGGGCACCATAGCTGCCTTGCTGTTGTGCGAAGCCGGGGCCAGGGTAGTTGTATGTGCGTTCACCGTTTTGCTGGTTCACAAAGATCCACCGGTTCTCGCGTCCATCCCACTCTGCGTACCATGGAGGGGAAACTGGTGGTGGTCCGGAAGACTGCTGTGGTGGCGGGTAGCCCTGTTGCTGTGGTGGGTAGCCCTGCTGTGGGGGATAGCCCTGCTGTTGTTGCTGATAGCCACCATACTGTCCCTGTGGGGGATATCCGGAATATCCGGATTGTTGTTGCTGCTGGCCGCCGCCGCTCTTGGAGCCCGTGAATTCTGACACCAATTCACTGAGGAAACCCATTGTGTAAATGTGGGGGGGTGGATGTGTGGGTGGTAAGAGGAAGAAGGTGCAAATGCAAGTGTGGGTTGGTTGGAATGGATTGAAAGAATGAGAAACGTCAAGTGTCTGTGGACAAGGTATTAGTACTTGAAGGAAACGCGGCATTTAAGCCATCCCAACCCGATCTCGGACGCAATGGCACCTGCAGCTTAGTCTGTCCAAGACCCCCTCAAAAGATCCATAGGCCCAGCGTACAAGACTCAGCATGAAACGTGGCGCAATCTCGGTGAGGCGGTGTCGCTACGTCCGGAGTTTGGACCGAGCAACCACACAGCGCTGGCGGTCTGAAACAAACTCTGTGATGCCCAGTGAAATCCAGCGACAATACTAGTTGTAAGCACTGGTAGGTATCAAACATCAAAGACCCAATGTTTTCCTCGAATGAGTTGTGGACAACATGGCATCTCTGAGCTGGCATAGCAAGATATCGTGAGCCAAGCTTCGGCAAGCTTTCCTTGGCGCAACGGATGCTCCCTTTTTCCGCATACGTATTGTGATCCTCGGCCCCGCCGTGGCGAGAGTTTTGAGGCGCAGCTCAGGGGCTATTGGCTCATGCTATACTGTTGTGCTGCGCCACGCTCTGGACGAGATTGAGTAATACCGCGATGCGCAGGCCAACAGACGGATACGCCGTCGGCAACAAGAAAGATGTCATTGCTTGTTTAAACACAATCAGTCTAAACGCGCTCCAGAGGCCACTTGTCTTCATTCTTCGGTTCGAGTGGCTCAACTACCAAGAAAAAAGGGGTCCACGAGAGCCATTCTCCTGATTGTTGGGTTTCAAGGATGCAGACTTCTTTGCACATGGGGAGGAACACTTGTCCAGCAGACAATAATGATCTACCCTGCGCCACAAGCACGTTTCCCCAGGTCAGAATAGGTGGGAACGGTCGCAATAGAGCGGGGCTTCGGTAGGTGCCCTGTCGGCTGTAAGCTCAGCAAGATCGCCAGGCCTGGCTGCAGGCAATAGGCAATCGAACATTGACCACACAATGGCTTCGAGAAAGACAAAAATTCCATCCTCATCATTATCGTAGTATGGAAAAAGCTGCTTTCAGTGAGGAAACCGCACATCCTACATAGATCATGTACCTGGTGCGAGAATGGCCATAACCAATCGATAAACAAACTTTACATAGGCTCCTCTGGGTATCTCAATCGAAAACAACCTTCTTTCCCGCCGGCTTGGCCCCACTAAGATCGATCTTGAGCTTCTTGCTCTCCTTGGCCATCTTGGCTGCCTGCCAGGAAGGATGCAGCTCGCCCTTGTCATCCCTCTTCGCGCCAACACCAATCTTCCTATCCTTTTTGTCGCTTCTCTCGCCCAAAGGCTCTGCATTACCTCCACTCTGCTGCGGTCCACGACCCAGTGGTTTGCCTCGTCTTTGACGCTTGTCAGTGCCGCTCACTGCGCCGCGCTTAGGATCGAAGGTGGCATTGCGCTGTGCCTTTTCCAGATGTTTTGCTTTTTGTCCGTATTTGAGTTCTGCAATCTTCTGACGGGCACGTTGACCGCGGCGATTCTTTCGTGGAGCCACGTCTACATCAAGGTCTGAGGCTTCTGATTCAGAGCCGGAAAAGTAGGCGGCATGACTGAGGGCGGGGATAAATGCAGAGGTTGTTGGCTTCTCTTCAATGGCCTTGGTCTTGGTCTTTTTGGTAGGTATGGCGGTTGAATCGGAGTCAGAGTCCGACCCGGAGTTGGAATCCTCAGAGCCTGAATTCTCAGAGTCCTCGTTCGATAGCAATTCGCCATTCGCGCCGCTGGCCTCCTCAACCTCACCCAACTCTTCACTTTCGCTCTCACTGTCGGCGTCGAGATCAGCATCAGGATCGTGTTCGCTGTCGCTATCCACGATACTTGGAGGCCGCTCGTCGTCCGTCACAGAAGCTTCACTCTCGTCTTCGCCAGACGAAGGCTCTGCTATCCGTGCGCTGAATGCCATGTATGGATCATCTCCCTCATCGCTCGCGTCCTTCATATCAACATCCTCCTTCTTGGTAGTCTCTTCATCTTTCGGCGCCTTCTTGTCTTGTACCTTCTTTCCGCCAGCTTCTTCCTTCGCATCATCCTTGCCCTTGGCGACTCCAAGTATGCCCTTCAAATCCTCGACCACACGGTCCACTACGTTCTTCACCTGCTTGACCTTGAAAAGCCGTGCCGTGACATTAAGCGTATGTGCATCTTTATTTCCCTCTCGTATCCCAGCAATGTATTCCTGCAATGGCTCGGCATCCTTCAAGCTCTTGACCCTTGCCAGCGTCTTGCGCAAATGCTGATCGCCCACTTGTTCCAAATTGAGTGCTTTCAGCGTTTCGTACTCAGAGTTAAGTCGATGAATGGTCTTGGTTTGGTTCTTGTTCACCGCGTATTTCTTTCTGCGACTGTGCTTCTGGCGCTCAAGCATAGAGGCATGGCGCAGTGCTTGAAGCAAAGGCTTTTGCGCATCAGCGAGACGCTTCTCACAGATTTTGGCGCATTTTGCGGGTGTTGACCTGGAAACCGACTCGATTGCGGGAGCAGGTGAGGAGCGCTTTCGTTTGGGCATGCTGGGTGATGGTGATTGGATTGGTTTGAAGGTGTCGCGCCGAAATTTTGGAGATGCACTGATTCCTTATCGATAAGGACCTTGGCCCGACTGTGCCCTCGCTATACTGGATTGTTACAACAGGGCCAATACCCTCAGCAACTATGACCTTAATCTGTGCATAAATGTAATCGCAGTAGTCTCACCAGGAAATGTGGATAGTAGCTAGTAGGTATAAGCAATAGATCTAATCCCGTCTTTCCGCCCAATCTTGCACCCAAGCATGCGACATGTAAATAATCCAATTCTACACAAGTCCGAGTTCAACCAAGTAAACACTCTACTACGGACAAGGATCCGCACAATCCCCAGCCGCCCAGCATCCATACTGTTTATCGTACTTGAGAACATCACTAGGATCTTGATTGACCTTCCCCCAGCAGCAGGTACCATAATGATGACTAATAGTATCGCAACCCTAGAATGAGATTAGCCAACCAACTATCATCTCCCATTCTAGTGAACAATCAAAACTTACAGAAACACATGAGCCACTGATACATTTTGACTGATATTGTTGCTGTGGCGGCGGGTGTACTTTGGGAAAATTGGCATACGGATTCCAAGGCTTTGGACTACATAGTCCGACGCCCACCATCATGGCAGCAAGAATGGCGATAGAAACCGAGTGACGCATGTTAAATATAGACCTTGTTGTATTCACGGTCTACTGGCGGTAATTGTGTTGATTCAATTGTATGTCGTAAGGATTGTTGTTGGATCAGAGCGAAAGTGCTTGTATCTTGTACAAGAAAAGCAAAGGAGAAAGAGGGATAAGAAGACGGCCAGAAAGGATCAGAATTTATTCTAAAATCTGCTGAAAGGTACAAACTCAAACCTCGTTGTTGTGTAAGCACTAGATAGGATCGTTGAAGAGATCTGACATCTCATTTCCGGTACGCTGGTGAAAGCCAAAGCAAAAGGCTCAACACTCTTTGGAGAAATTTGAAACGTGAACAATGTGTAGTATTTTAAGAAGTTACAGTTTAGTGATTAAGCTATGTGACGTAACCGGACTATTCATGGGCCAAGCCTACTTCATCAACCTCCATAATGCAGGGAGAGGGGAGAAAGCCACTAGCCTCCATTTAGTCATCAAATCTCCTGATGATGTAATGAAATGAGTTAGTGGTGGACCCGATTGGTATCACTAGTAAGCACAGGGAAAGGCCCCAAATCTCCGAAGGACTTCTGACTGTACTGGAAAAAAGGATATTAAAAGAACATCAAAACCACGGTAACCATTCCTACCACTTTCTCAATATGCTCTTTCAAATTTAAGAAAGTGAAGAGCTGCAGCCATAACATAAACTACGTAAAAATGCTCGGAAACTTCGCAAAGTCAACCTATAAACGTCCTTACTTGCTGTACAAAAACATTCCCAAGTGCCATACTCCTTTAACCATTTACAAGCCGATCAAACTCTTCATCCTCAAACTCCTCCTCTAAACCATCTCGTTAGCAAAGCCACTCAACATAACCATTCCCTCCTTGAAGTAAAAAGGAAAGCAGACAAACTCACCACTTTGCCCCTTCAACTTGCTATTCTCCCTCCTCAACCTCCCAATCTCATCCCTCAACTCATCATTTTCCTCTTCCAGCTCTCTAATCTCATCATTATCATCCCATTCTTCCTCATCTTCCCAAGCTCCTTCCCCGAGTGGCCTAAATACGTTCTCATTGTTAGTCTCCAAAGTAACCTTTTTTCCCCGCATATCCGCAGATTGGAACGTGTCTAGGAATAGTAGAGGTACGTACCTGCCGCGAGCAATTTCATAAACAACAGTGAAAAGCGCAGACCAAAATCCGTGGAAACACGCGCGCAAAATCCATTCATATTGGTTACTGTCGCTTTGCTCGGAATCCTCAGAATCATAGTCGTAGTAGTTACTACCGAAATGGCCGAGATACAAGGTTGGACCGGCGTTGTAGATAGTTACAGACAGTCTTTTTGCGTTTTGTTGGTATATTTGCTGGGCGGCCATTCGCTTGATGCGGTGCCGTTGTCGTGTTTCGGGGTCTATCAGCTTTGATACGAATACTGGGGACACCGCTCTTGGCGCTACTGCTGGGATCACTGGTTTTGGCGCCGCAATCATCGCTTTTGACGTTTCTTTCTGGGTGAATGTTGGGAAGACCCGTAGGCTTTGCTGGAAAAGAGTTGTTCGATGGAGTCGGGATACCCCTATGAAGAGAGCAGGTGCGTTACGCAGGATCGAGACATGGCCCATTGTCCGGACGGAGTTTAAAGCCAGAGACATGATGTTTTTGAGTAGTGGTATTAGATAAATCTGGGTGGGTGTGGTTGTGTAGAATGTGTGTAGAGTGGTGTCATGGATGTTGAAGGCGGAATGGGTAGACCATGACAGTTATTGTGCATATTGGCCATGATGACTGGATCACAGTTGGCACAAACCCACGGTTGACCATGGCCAGTTCGACCTGACCAAATCCATACAACTCACGCTGCCTCAATGTATCGGCAAATATTCGCTTCAGGGCTGGGACATCCATGGTTCGATAACGCCCGACCAATGCCCTCGCAGGCATGTCAAATATCGCATTGACGGCCACCAAGGGATTTGAAGGTCTTTTTTTTTGAGCAAAGGAAGAGGCCTGAATAAACTCTCCAAGCTATTGTCTATATAATTACATATATTCGCCTTTTCTGCATCTATATACCCAAATTTAGTCGCGAAGTGATTCTAAGTACGCAACTGCTGCGTGGTCGCTGAACAGAGTGACACGTGATCACTCAGCAAATTCAGGAAACACATCACACCTTCGCCTCCACCCGCACACGTCGGTACACGTAGTTGCTAAGTTAAAAGATAGAGCACAGCAAGAGAGAAACGATAACCTAAAACTCATAGAATTGAATGACAATCTACTGTACACAAAATTTCACATCTTTTACTCTTTAAAATAGATCGTAGCTTCTCCAGGATCAGCAGGCCGAACAGGTTCTGGTATGGAAGTATCCATGAGAAGGGAGCATCCATGGGGCGTCGTCCGTGGAATGAGAGCGTCCATGAGATGAGGAGCGTCGTTGTTCGTCGCTAGCCAGTAACACACTGCAGACCCAACACCTCTCATGTGCCCTTTGCCCTCCCCCAAGTCAATCCACATCCATGTTCCACCACTGACTACCCACAAGCCTCCGATCCTACCACCGACCAGAAACGGTCCTCCAATACCTCCAAAGACACCCTTCGGTGGTCCGTCTGGCAGCTATGTTGATCGTGTAGGTAAGAGGGCAAGGATGGGTGAGAAGTCTAGGCGGCAGCAATGACGGATAAGCTCGATGATGATCTCGACAGCGAAGAGAGGAAATGGTCGACGGTGATGGAGAAAATTGCTGACGGCGAATCATGATCCCATCCACTGCTCCTCCTTCCGCCCTCCCACCAGTTTTAGGAGGTTTCCATTTTGTTCCCTCCTTCCTGGCAGCCGGTTTTAGGAGGTTTCCATTTTTTTTTTTTTTTTTTTTTTTTTTGTTTACCCGGTGGTGGGAGGCACAGCGACGTCGTCGGGACCCTGATCAGGGGTCAGAGAAGGGATCGGTGTCTGGCATGGCCCATTGGCCGGTTCGGACGTACACTGTGACAATTGTTAGTAAAATTTCCACAAAGTTGATTGGTGAACAGACAGGAGTACGCCGAAGCGGCCAACTGGGCCATGGCCCATTTGTAAACCTCCCGGGAACCCTCGGCAATGGCGGACCTGAGTTCCTCCTTCTAGGTAGTGAGGACTATTGTCATCACCCAGGTGCCGACCGCTGCCAAGGGTCCCAGGCGCTTTGCAAATGGGCGTTGACCACCGCGGTGGTCCCTTCTCCTCACCCTTCTCTGGGGTGACCCGACGGTCCGGTAGAACCGGACAGGACTGTACCAATGAATATAGATTAGCCATGAGTGACAAACAGAAGTAAACCTCTGGGGTCAGAAGTGGAAGGTGAAAGGCTTACCGCGCTGGCCCCCTCACCACCGGGGACCGCAAGAGTCTTGAAAAAAAAATTGGCATTACTGCAAAATATTAGTGTTCAAATCGCCAAACTGTGTCGATTTTCTAGGAGGGCGAAGGTAAAGGGAAATCGGTGGGAGAAAGGGGGTGAAACGTGAAAGCAAGAAAAGATGGAACAACAAGTGTGCATGGTGATGCATTGAATAGTGGGAACGATTGGGTATGAACTTACTTAATGCTTTATAATGAATGTCGTGAAGAAAAAAGAGAAAACGAGAGCAAGCCTGAGATGCGGGATTATATACCTGCAGCGACTGCCCTTGAGAAACGCTTGGCATTACGTCTCGCCTGCGTTGGTGACCATTCTTCAAGGTAGGAGCAATTGCCTTGGTAAACAAGCAAACAACAACTCACAGAATGCGCTTCACATAGCGTAAACAGGTGCTTTCGGGCTTCCAAGGTTGGTAGGGAAAGAACTCTTTAGCACTGTAGAATGAATGTATTTTCACATGTCTCGGACCAGCTTTGTCGATATTGGACATAAAACATTATTGTTCTTTCTCCGTTGCACTGACGTAAATACTCTTGTAGTAATGAAACGCGCTTAGAAGCAAAACCACGTTGCTACCCTCTTCCCTGTTCCTTTCCATCCCTTCTCCTCCGGCTCCATATCATCCTTTGTATATACATCCGTCTCCAAATCCATCTCGCTTGCTCTCCTGAACTTGGTCTTCTTGATAAGCTTCCATGCCACAATCATGACGAAGAAGACTGGAAGCTCAAGATAGAAGCTGACAAAGTCTACAGAGGCAAAACTTGGGCTGAAAGCGGTCCAGCCTTGGACCAAGACGATGAAGGTGTTAAGAACGATGCAAATAACGGGGCCCCATGGGTACATCCAATTGCGGAAGGGTAGAAGATGCTCTTTGCCCTGGGCTTTGAGACCGGCGCGGAAGCGGAGAGATGCGATGCCGATGCAAATCCAACTTAGTTGGTTGGAGACACCGACAATATTTTGCAACCATGTCCACACTTGACCGGATCCAGCAAAGGAAAGGGAAAAGAGTACAATTGACACGATGCTCGTCGTCATGACCGATACCCACGGGACTTGGTAACGCGTCAACTTGGTGAAGACTTTGGGCGCATGACCGTTGGAGCCGAGGGTGTAGAGCAGTCTCGATCCGGCGTAGAGGGCGTGGTTTCCAGCAGAGATAACGCTAGTAAGAATTACAGCGTTGACAAACGAACCTGCAGCCTTTGATCCTGCCATCTGGAACGCAATAGTGAATGGCGATGTGCGACTGGACTTTGTGCTGAGCCCAGGGTAGTTGTAAGGGATGTTGAAGCCAATCATGGTAGCTGTGAGAATATAGAAGAGTAGAATGCGCCAAAACACATTCTTCACTACTCTTGGAAGGGTGCGAGCAGGATCGCGCGTCTCTCCGGCGGTGATTGCAATCGACTCGGTTCCTCCGTATGCGAATGAGGCTGTAACAAAGACGGACGCGAAGCCACCAATGCCTCCCACGAATGGCGCGTCGCCGATAGTCCAGTATTTCCCCCCGATATATCCATAGCCAACGTTTCCACCAGCATTCACCGCAATGCTCAAGATGATGAAAATGATAATGGTTACCACCTTGAGCAAGCTCAGCCAGTACTCCAACTCGCCGTACGCTTTGACGTTGATGATATTGGCCAGGACAATAAGCACCCATACGGCGATTCCCAACGCATACCAGGGAACACTATCGCTCCAATACCGGATCAACAACTGAAGCGCAACCAAATCCGCTGCCGTGCTGACAGCGTCGTTGAACCAATAATTCCACGTCAGCGCGAATCCAAACGCATCGTCCACGTAGCGCCCAGCAAAGGTGCAAAAAGACCCTGCCACGGGAACGAAAGCTGCCATCTCCCCCAAAGACAGCATAGTGCAGAAGACGATGAAGCCAACAATGGAATAGCAGATGAGTAGAGAAGCAGGTCCTCCAGTCGCGAGGGCCTTGCCAGTACCAAGGAAGAGTCCGGTTCCTATGGTTCCTCCAATTGCGATCATCTGAACTTGACGTGCCGAGAGGGACCGTCGCAGGCGGTCCTCGTTGATGAAGTGTGAAGGCGTTTCCGTCAGCGTGTCTGGCGATGTCGCGACATCGCGGGGAGCTTTCTCGGGATCCACGGCCGTCATTATGGTTTGATACAGCAGTATCAGGCTGCGACGCGATGCAAAACAAAAAGAAGTGAGCAAAGCTCAGAGACGAGACTTAAGGAAGCTTTTCATGGCAAAAGCTTGGGATGCCTTGGGGGTCCAACACAAGGCGGGCTTGGGTGGACACATGGTTTGCGCCACGAGTCAGCGATCCTTTCTGGGTTTGCAGTAGCAGCTCAGCTGCGGGCAACAGAGCACGCCATTTCTCTCGCCTTGGATTGGGTGGGAAAGAGGGGAGTTGGAGAAAAAGTTTGGGTTACATTTGCCTCTGGGTGTCCACCTGCATAGGATTTCTGCAACGCTAGACGAATCGGGCTAGTACTCCCGTAAGTAAAAGAATGCGAACCTTTTTAGTCTGGCCAAAATCTTGACAATGCCGTCATTTCACGAATGAAAAAATGTATTTCTTGATATGGTTTAAAGTGAAAAGAGGATCCCGTTGAGTTTTTCTGGGTCAAGGTGGGTTTTGTGGTCTTTCTAGAACGCATCTAGAACTAAGCTGCCTGTCTCGGAAGAATGGGAAACGAATCTCGGCCCCATACACTTTTCACCGATCGCTATGATGGTCTGTTGATTTTTTCCACCAGGTATCCTACCAGGTCACTGCACCTCTGTTCATGTATTATTCTTGCCCTCCGGATTGATTGCTGTTGGTTTCAGGTAGTCAAGTCCTTCAAGAGCATAGTGTCTCACTTTCCCTTCCTCATTTCCAAGGCATACGCAGCATCACCAATCTCGACACCAAACACCATGTGCCAGAAAAATGTATGTATTAAGAATAAATGGTATACTGCTACTATCAGGCCTGAGCAATCTCAATCCCAAACGTCTTTTTTCCTAGCTGCCCCTTTATTCGCGCAACATTAAGCCAGTTGGCCACGGACCGCACCAGGCAGCGCCAAACTGGAATGAGTGTCTGCCATGAATGCAGCAGGGTTCGCCTCAATCATGCTCACGTGGAAGCCCTCGCCTGAATCCTTGCCCTCGACCATGACGCCAGTAGTAAAGGGCCCCTTCAGGCATCCTGCGCTGTTTCGCACTGCCACATCTCCATTGACCGGTTCCGGGTTGGGGAATGCGATTCTGGGTGGTCCGCTTGCGCCGCGCGCAGCCTCGTGGATGTGGGTTGCAGTTGTGGCTGGGGAGTCAAACTTGCCCTGGAAGTTGTGCAGGGTGATGTTGTAACAGATCATGTTGGCTGCGCTGTTGATTCCGAAGTTGAATGTTCCGGAAGCGCCAGCGATGCCACCCGTAGGCTCGGTACCGTTGACGACTTCCTCGGGAACGGCGTGAACGGCATGCATGGAAGTGAATGTGAAGAGTTCGTTGGCATCGAGTGCATTTACTCCTGCTTCCTTGTTGCTGATGTCGATGGAGAATGATAGTTGCATATGGCCGTTGCCGAGGTCCATGGGTGATGCGGTAATTGGCGCGGCCACTGCGCTGAGGACCAAGCTCGCCATGGTAGTGAGGGTTGCGGTATACATTATGAGTATTGCTGATCTGAAGAAAACAATCCAAAAGGCGTCGAAGAAAGTCGTATGAAACGAGGGTACAGACTTGAAAGAAGCGAAAGAGAAGAGAAGAAAGAATGTGTGAAGAGACTGATCAACAGTGAATTACTCCTACCGAGTTCTCCCATCAGCTCGTTGTGGCCTTTATATATACGCACGCTGCAGGAAGTTTTGAAAATCGTACGTGAATGCCTTAGTACCAAGGCTTGGTGTTGGCCTGGATGCACGAATCCCGATATTTGAGGCAACTCTGCGACACATTACAAGTCTCGCACATCTTGGCCCACCCAACACCTGGAGAGCCAGTTCGACCAAACAGTTGTTGTAAACAACCACCGCCAATAGCAAACACCCCCACAGACGGAATACATGGGTGCGGATGCGCACGGTAGCTGAGGCTGGTAGAAGCCTTTCTTGGACGTGTTACTTGTGCATCCAGTTCGGCATGAAGGGGCGCCTTGCGTCTTGGCCCAGCGATGCCATAGCCGTTTGCGTATATTTTTGCTTGTTTGTCGTCCGATTTTATGAGTCGCCATCCTCAGGCAAGCTGGTTTGTAACAGATCAGCGGAGGAAACGCATGCGTTGAGGCTGAGGAGGATTCGCGGCTCTTTATCTGACAAGCCCGTCATGTAGATTGACGTGAACTTCCCGCTGCATAGCTCTTTTGATCATGTGACGAGATGTTTGTAGTAGTAGAATATTCAGAGGGCTTTGTCAAGGCTCAATGACAAAAGTGCATCAGTCCCATGGTCCGCTTCGCATATCATGATCGATTGCGCAGGCCATTCAACTGTACCCGAGGCCATTGCTGAACCTCGGTGTACAGCACAAGAGACACCAGGCTCGGAATCGGCGAGGAAATGACAGGGAGTGATTGTTTCGAGGCATAGAGACAGTACATATACATGTACATATAGGTACATACATACTGTCGGTCGTGTTAGAGAAGTGAATAGTGCGTCATAGAAGTTCGGAGAGCACGGGACCGCCACCCGCCGCGTCATCTGGGGATCCCGCCAGTACATTCCTCCGCTTCACAACAAAATGCTTGGCAGGACACAGCCCCTCAGACTTCGTATAATGGACTTTCTCACACGCAGTCAACCAGACTGACCAGCTCGCCGCCCTTATTCTCCTCCTCACTTCTTCACGCCATGGCTCCATCGCATGCTGATCCGCCGATTCCTTCGTATGAAGAAGCCGTCGTCGCATCTCCGCGTACAAGTGTACCAACAACTCCGCTGCCACCGCCATCTGAACCCACACGGGCGGAACGGGATTCCCCAGAGTCTGAGGCGCCACCCGCGATCGCTTCTGCATTGCCTCCACCAGAACTACCGCCTGCCTACGCCGTCGTTGATGAGAAAGCCACCACCTTCACCATCTACGGTACCTTCATTCACACCCCCAATGCTCCCGCCTATCAACTCTCCTCCCTCCTCGATACGTCCATCAACAAACTAGGGATGCGCAGATTACGTGCAGAAGAAGTCACAATGCTCCAAGCTGGCGCACTAAATGTCCCATTCACCAGCAGCGGCCTCCTCTACGAAGCCCAGGACCCGCCTTTCGTCATAAACGAATACTACGTCCAGGGAAAGTCTGCTCGTGCGCTTCCAGGTTACTTAATGATACGGTTTGGCCTACGCCGTTGGCACGTTGCACATGTGCCGACACCGGGCAGTCGGCCAATCGAGATTATGACATGTGGGAAGCTTGGTAGTTTCACCAAAGCCATTAAACAGCGCAGGAATGAAATGGAGCCTAGCCAGTGGAAAGACTCGGAAGGCCATGTCGTTGCCACTGAGGTGATGAAGATGGGCTATGGAGGAAAGATGCCAACGATCGAGCTGAGGAGCGATCTCGACCAAACGTGTAGGGAGTTGATTCTCGCACTGTGGGTCACGAGGCTGTGGGCAGCTTTTGGTGCGGGCAACAGCTTTATGACATGAAACCGTGATGCACGATATTCGCGGAAAGTGACACACATGAGGGGACATGACGATTTGTTTGATCATTGATTCGATTTTTGGGCCGTTATTTGAGCACTTCCTCGGGCTAAGGCTTTCGCCATCTATTCCTTTCGGACAGCCCTCTTGAATCCCTGGCGCTCAACCTGAGCTTTCGCGGCCGCAATCACGGCGGCAGCATTGGGGTCTTTGAAACCGCAACCCGTCTTTCCGTTCTGTTTACTCGCTACTTCAGCACTGCATACACCTTTGCCACTCGAGGCAACCTTGGCGCAGCACTTTGAACTGCAATCGGCATCAGACACACATCCACCTGTGATGAACTGTGCGCCATTGCCTTGGCCAACATTCTTAGCACCCGCGTTGTTAGGCGTGACCTGAGCCATGGACATGGCGGCAACTTGAAAGTGTTAGCTCCACAGTGTCATAGTGATATGTGGGCTGCCATTTACTTACGAGTGAAGAGAGTGGCAATGGTGAAACGCATTTTGGATTGATTTAATAGATGGTTGGTTATGTGAAGAGTTGGGTATATGCTTGATGAGAGAAAGAAATATGTATGTGAGTTAAAGACACCAGGTCAAAGAATCCGCGGTCACAGACGGCAAATTGAGAAGATAGTATTAGGTGGTGGGATCTTGAAGTTGGAAGTGAAGCTGCTTGTTGAGTTGGCTTGTAGGTATACTACATTTATATCCCCTTAAGGCTCCTAAGTGCATAGTCCCCTTTTTTCGTCACCATCACCGTAAGCGCGTGATGGCATGAGCGGGATCCTGAGGCTGTTGATGCGTGATCTCCTATTGTGCTACGCCCGACGAGTAGCTGGAGAACACCCGCAGTGCCACTCTTCCGCTTCACCGTCAAAGCATCTCCCTACGCATCGTCGCATTAGCCTCGCTTCTGTGCCACATAGATGATCGAGTAACTCACAGGCCAATCATAATTGACGCGTCGATGTGGCTGAGCTCCCTAGCACGTTGTCTCGGCATGCGTTTCAGCCATTCACTCGGGCGTGACGCGCGTGTCAAATGTGTCAGATGAGTTTGACATATTAACCGCATTAGAATGGAAGGATCATGAATAGCCGTGGGATTATAGATGTGTCCAAGCCGGACATTCTTTGCACATTAAGTCGTTCCTCAACATTACGATTGCCACCCGTGTTTTGTATACACACGTCGTTAAAGCCATCAGAGACGCCACGCCCTTGTTGTTCCATTACATTATAGTGCGTCAACCCCCTTCTTTTGAGCGGGTTTTCTCACTCAAGACATTCCATCATATTCAAACTGAGTCAAAGAAACCCATGATGATTCTGCTCGCTTGAACGACCGTAGGTCCTTGCTGCGCATACGATTGCGAGAAATTGGGTTCGGTATCAGCCCAGGCATGACCTACGATCGCTCATTAGTACAATCAAATAACAAATACTCTGATTCTAGAGTGAAAAAAAACAAGAGGAAAGATTTACCCAAATGCGTCACTTCGTAATGCTGGATTAGACCGGATTTTCCACCGCAACCCCAATACCAATGTCGCACCTCGCTCCCAAACGTAATATTCACACTGCTGCTCTCGCACTTATAGCGCAGCGCCCATGAGTTCAGCCAGTTGAAGATTGAAGGCAGTTCGCCGCCTTGACCCTTGCCTCCCGCATACGGAACGTCCTTGTCGGCTCCACCATGGATTTCCAGCAAGGGTACCTCCTTCGACGGCGCACACCCATTATCAGGCCCATTGACATCCGTGTAGAAAGCGCCCGAGTGCGCTGCCAGACCCGTAAAAAGCGAACTCCCCTTTTCATCGCATGCCAGTGTTCCAATGGAGCCGCCGCCATTAGACATGCTACGTAACATGTATCTGTATCAGCACCGAACAAGGAAAAAACCCCCGGCAAGCACAACGCGCGACATAACCACATGTCGAAATCGACAAAACGCCGTATACGTACTCAGCGAGAAAGAAAAAAACAATAGTTAAACTTACCCAAATCCAAACACCCTTCGTTAATACAGAATTTCTTCTCCGCATCCGCAATAACATCCGCTACAAACTGCACATCCTCCTCCACACTCGTCCCATTGTGATATGTCGGCCGCGCCCAACTTCCCCCAACCCCTTCCGGATACATCATAATCTTATTGCCGGAATAGGTCTCGTTGTTGAGCTTTGTATCCAGCGGGACGGTCGCTGCACTGCTCGAGCTGCCATGGAAGCCGAGGACGAGCGGGTACGCGGTGTCGCTTTTGTAGGTAGACGGGAGATGGACGAGGTAGCTGCGATTTTGGACGCTGGAATCAACGTATTGGGCCGGGACGCTTAGAGGTCTCTGTATGCGATGCCGCAGCCGCTAGATTTTTGGGAGGCAGCGAGGGTGATGGTGAGGAGGGTGGAGAGTAAGAGGGCGAGTTTGGATAGTGGCATGGTTACTTGTCTGATGCTTTTTGTTGCAGTGATACTACTACATATGACCGGAGCGTTGAGAGTTCACGAGGTGGTAGGCAGTTCTTCTTGGCTGCGGAGATATATTGGGTTTTGGGCGCTGGTTGATAAGATTTAGAGGCCTTTTTCTTACTACATCACCGGAAGTCATGTATACAGGGGACTGGATGTAAGCGGGTTCGCAATAGCATGATGTTGGACAGTGAGTATAGTGGTGAGCTTTGTTCGGCGGACCGATCGAATAATTACGAGAACATTCTCCAGAATCCTGCCTTGCGAATTCAACATGTGGGGAGAGTTGTCGGCAAACATATTACAAGCTTTCATAGTATAGCTTTCACAGCCCGTCGAGATAAGCATGTATTGCCGGGTAGTACATAGTATGTGCTAGTTGCCGCTCTCTAATGCACCTAATAGCCACACTCGCCAAGATATTTGACTGCTTATGTACCCGAGAAAAGGGTCGACCAGCAGAAAACCAGGTACACGGGCAATACGGTGTGAAATGATTGGTAGTGAGTAATGGGTGGCTTAGACATTCGTACCGGCCCCGTCATTCTTGCATGCCTGTCTTTTTTCCGCCGTCTTCCGATGCCGACAGTCTGAAAAAGAATTGAGCAGAAGCCAATCATACAGCCCCAGAAGCTGCAGTTTCCATGATCGATTGAGTCCGAATCACATACTATTTCTAATATCAACTTCCTGATGACCCGGGCTCGGCGGTACATCGCCCGTTTCCCATACAACCTGTTTATTGCCCAGCGTAAACACAATCTCCCCGCCCTCTATCATAATTCCACCGGCATCCTCATGCTCGAACCAATTCTTATCCCAGTGTTGACCGTTGATACTAATACCTTGCACATAGTATCCTTGCTTCCCATCCCCATCATCCAATCCTTCAGCTCGGATCCTGAGAGTCTTGTCATGGTTTACTGTAATGTTGATATCGGAAAACCAAGGACTCTCAAGGAGATAAACGGGTGTTGTGACGATTGGATACAAGCCCAGCATTTGCCAAACTAACCAGCAATTCAATGCTCCAGCATCACTATTTCCAGGTATACCGTTTGTGGTGTTAAAATAGAAATCGTTGGCGAGCTGACGGGATCTTTCGACACTCTTCCACTGCTTGTTAAGGTAATTGTAAAGGTATGGTGTTTGGAAGTCTGGTTCGTTGGCAACATTGTTGATCGTCGTGATGCCGAGTCCATTGACACCCAGATCGACGCCAGATGTGTTTGGTTGGAAGACGTAGTCGAGTCGCTCTTCAAAGTGCGACGGACCGCCCATTAGGGTGATCACGCGTGATAGATCATGAGGGATGACGAATGAGTACTCTGTTCAAATTAGTATGTCGTAAAGAATTAACACGTGGTCGAATTAGCTCACCAAATGAAGTTCCCTCATAGCTTTCATCCTGCCAATTGCATTCGCCGCAGTCGGTTATTTTATAAGTTTTATGAAAAGTACCGTTCGCATATCGTGGCATAACGAAGCCAGTGAAGTTGCGACTCGATGCTTCGGGGTCCCAGCTCAATTGCCAGCCTGCCGACCTCCGCAAGTAGAGGTCCTGATCACCAGGCGCTTCCCCTGCTGCAATCTGACTTACAGCAAAATCATTGAGCGAATACTCTACTGTTTTCGATACTGCGCGCGTATTTCTATCCGCTGAAACGTAACCGAGAGGTATCCAATCATCGAGCGCTGACCGTCCTTCCTTGAGAGACCCTTGTGGATCAACGGGATTTTGGTCGAAAAAAGGCAGAACGTCGGCATCTTTCTTGACCGCTGCATAGCCCTCGGTCCAATTGATCATACCCCTCAGTCCTTTGACGTAAGCGTCAGCAAGAACGTTGTCGGCATTTGACCCTCCTTGTACCAGCCCATTGTAGTTTCCTGATCGCCCATCAGGCAGATACCCTTCATGCTTGAATATATCAATTAAAGATCTGATCATTGACTCGTAGTAAGCCGGTTGAATGAGATGCCATAGTGAGACTTGGTTTCGGAAGAGGTCCCACATTGTGTAAAAGTCATCCCAAGACGGCTCATCAGACTCCCATAATGGGTTCTCGCCTATCCGCTCGCTTGGGATAAGGTGCATAAAATACAAGCTTGAATATAGCAGCGCAAGTCGCGTTTTGTTTGCGCGCTCAGATGTGTCAACCCGGATTTTGGAAAACACACCCCGGTTCCATTCGTCGCGCGCTGCCTGAGCAGTGTCTTCGATGGACCAAGTTGACAGCTCAGCGTTCTTGTATGCGCAAGCTTTATCCACAGACATGAAGGATATTCCAACTCGAGACTTGATCTCAGTAGCGTTGCTCCAAGTGAAAAGCGCGCCAATACGGTCGTTCATGGGTCCTGAGCGAGCAGTGTTACCAGTAAATGTGGGTCGCGGCGTTGTACCGTTGTTAAATGTTCGAAAATGACGGCTCACAGGGAATGTGTTTTGGCCTTTAAATGCCTTCGCCTCATCAGGTACGTTATCAAACTCTCCGCATACGTAAACGGTAACTGGTGCTCCAATGTTCCATCCCCCAGCAATGGAGGTAAAGCCAGTGTAGATGCTGGAATTAGGCTGAATCTCAATTTCGCCGCCTGTGTAAAACTGGCAGTCCCAAGATCGTGTTGGATGTGGTAGATAGTGCGATAGATCCACGAGTACGTGTTTCTCTGAAGTTGATGGGTAGCTGTAATGATATAGTCCTGCGTGTCGTGAAGCTGATAACTCAACTTGTACACCCGATTCAAACTCTGTGAGAAAATAGCCCACTGAAGCCACATCTTCACCTACCTGAAGTTTGTCAGCCAATGCATGATGAATATTGTTTGCTCAACGTACGCGATCTTGCCAATACGTGCGATTGTCCAGCAGGTTGACATCACCGTCAATTCTTGTGAGCGGCATCTGAGAAGGATACCCGTATTTTGGACCTCCTCCCGTTCCGGATTGATGTAACAAACTGATACCTGTGACATGACCTTGGGGAGTGTATCCGCCGTTCAGCGCGCTCTGATTGATGGGCTCTTCATAGCTGTCGATGCCCAGTTTGACCATACCAAAGGGAACTGCACCACCGACGAAGACATCGCCACCGCCATCTTTACAGTATCAGCAATTTGATAGAGACTGAAGATTAGGTGACTTACATGCATAACCGGGTATAGCGCCTTCGGTCCCTATTAACGGATTCACGAATTGTGAATAATCGACTTCCTGTGCATCTGCATACTGCCGCTGCACAATTGCAAGTATTGCGAGTATCTTCGCCTTAAACATTGTGAAAAGAGGTGATGTAGTGAAAAAGAAAGTACATCAGCTCCTTTCACAATGCGGGCTCCCCCACCTTTGCGCACCACTTTCAAGGTACCCCGCTTATGCACGTCACTTCCATTGTCGCAACCGTTAGTCTTTACCAAGCATTGAGGTTACATTGTTGGGTGTTCCTTCGATGGAACTGGGGATATAGTATAGTATGACGTAGCTGTTGGCGCCCCGCCTTCCCCGTCTGGTACTTGCCAAGATGCGGAGTTGGCTTTGGGAGAAGGCGCGACATGCTTAAAACTGGTTGGCATCTCTTTTGTGTTATGTTGAGGTATAGTAAAGAACTAATTGCACTGCTGATTTATACCTCAACTTGAGATTTTACTTGCATAACTGGGCTGAGTTGATGCTTACGACTACGACTACCAAGTATACATCGTAGTTTTATAGACACAATCAAAGCTTAAAACTTTCAATAGCCCCTGATATCCACAACTTCCTCTTCGCTACTTATGGCGACCCATCCATTATCATGCGTAATAGGAATGAGAGGACTGATTTGAATTCCCGTGTCTTCGACGTATGTAGGTATAGGGTCTGAGGCTTGGAGCAGGACACATTCCACCATTTCTGTAAGCACGTTCCCATGAACAGCTGCCTTTAACTCTTCCATTCGTATATGAGCTTTGAGGAGAGCAGGATTTAGGTCTAAAGCTCTCTGCAGTGCGTCTTGTGCATCATAACTTTGGTTTTGACAATTGTCGTACTGGTGGGAGGTGTTAGTCGCCGAAATGGATGTGGAGTACTTGCTTACAAGAACCCCGAGATTATACCATGACTCCCACGTTTGCGGGTTCAATCGGACGCTTCTCGCTAAAGCGTCAAGGCTGTCACGGTATTGATTAAGCTTGAAGTAGAGTACTCCAATCGTGATCCAAACATCGGGAATCGTGCTGTTAGATTTCACGCAAAGTTGCAGTGCCTCATATGCTTCCTTGAAGCAACCATTGGCTACGAAGGCTCTCCCCAAAAGATAGTGAGGAATCCAATCATTAGGTTCTACTCTACACGTCAGTTTACATATGCTCAAATAATTAGTCAACAGACAAACCTGTCGCTGTCGTCTGTCTCAGGCGATGGATAGCTTCATCAATTCGCACTTCACTGAGCGCATGCCATCCGAGGTATAGATTTGCTTGGAAGTCAGATGCATCATCCCGAAGCTTCTCGTACGCTTCTTCTGCTGATGTGAGAGGAGGCGGCCGCTCATATACCTGTATCCTTCGAAACAAGCCAATGGAGTCTTCGCAAAGTTGAACAGGACCAATCGCCAAGCTATCAGTCTGCTGTACACGTGCGTGAACGCTGGCCTGGCTTGTGATAGGATCAAGTGGTGTGGGCGAAGACGGAACTCTAGCGTATAACTTAAGCGGTAGAGTATGAAGAAGCGTGGAGCTCGACAACCGACCACATGTTGAGCTGCAACAAATTAGTACTCTAGTCTTTAGCCTCACAGGACTGCCCACCATATTTTGCCAATTTCATCGACTTGGCTTATTAACATCCCAGTACAGGCGGGAAAAGGGCATACGTCTTTCGAAATAGGAAGATCGGAGATAACCATCGCTTGCTTTATGTGGGCACCTGGTCTAATAGTTGAGTCCCACCGATGTGGTTGGCCGATCGAACGCCCGGTTTTCGCAAAAGTGAGTTGAAATTGGCCTCGTACTATATAGTCCAATCCTGGTCTCTGGTTTCCGTAAACAACTACCTTTAGTATGTCTGTGAATGACTTTTCAGATGCAGTTAGTCAGCTGAAATGTGCAAAGTGCATTGCATCGACTAAAACATCTTACATTCCATGTTTGACACGCTTGAAAAGGCAAGCCCCAGCTTTCTCCAAGTGCATCGTCAAGGCGGATTATGTCAACTGAAAGATGTAGGGGGATAGATTCGATGGCTCGAGCAATTCCTTTCATATGGCTTGCTATATCAAGAAGCATGCGGCTAGGTGGTTTTAGTGTTCGACATCTCTGGCCACATAGGTGGGAGAAGACAACTAACGTGTTCTGGCTAATGGCTTCCAGCATGTCCTTTGAGTATTTCGAGAATCTTAAAGATTTAGCTCATGCTGTGCATCGAAAATTGTGCCGGGGACCTACACGTGAAGAAGCTTCCTCAAGTCATTCAAGACGGAATGCAACCGCGCTACTTCTCGCAAAATCCGAGCTTTACTAGAGCGCATCATCTCCATGCTATTTTTCCCTTGCACAAATATTTCCGTTACCTGAGATGTTAGCCCTGCAACTGTTTGTGTCATCTGCGTGTCCCGTCTAATCTGTTGTTCTCCGTTCCGAGCGATTTCCAGATGTATATTGGCGATTGAATCAGGCAGATTGTGGACTAGGTTCAAGATCATCGAGGTCTTATTCAAAATAGCATCAGAGCTTTGACGAGAGTCTATTGAGCGAGCAGATAATCTTCTGAGATTGGTCCTGGCAATAGTGTAAGTATTCGCACAGCTCTTAGTGTAACTATACTGACAATTGCTGCACGCTCAAAAGCATATTAATTGCAGCCATTTCCGAGAGCATTACTTTTCGCAATTCTTCGACATCTTTCTGCGTGACCATAGACCATTTCATTCGGATCCCTACGTCATTGAGCCGTGCAGTCCGATAGTGGCCCAAGGAACGTTCTTTCGATAATAGCTTGTCAATGAAGGCTTGCAAAGGCTGGTGACAATGGTTGACGATGGCTCGTATCTGCTCGTGAATCTGCTTGTTGTCTTGATCGTCTGTTTGGGTTTGGATCACGTGCTTGAGAGTATGTTGTAGCAGGTCGAGTTCAACAGAAAGATTTTGGAATTGTGCTGGAGCATCGCGGTAATTCTTAAGCTCGGTCGCGATTCGCTCAAAAAGTCCGAGCACTGCGAGGAGGTCACCGATGCCGAATCCAAAAGACATCGTGGGCCACTGCACTTTTGAAACCACTGGTGTTGGTGTGGGGGAGGGCGGGGCGGCCACCCAAGACTCCCTACCTCAGTCCACAGTGTTAACAGTAAGTTTTGGGGTGAGCCAGAACATTCAACAATGGCGTGCAGATAGTGATCATGGGTAACGGAACATGACAATTGACAATCACCAGAGTTGTGAATAGAAGAACGTGGAGTTATAAAGCTCCACTGCAGTGAGGCAGTGCAAGCCACGGACGAGGCTTAGCCCCCTGGCACCACATCAGCCGGCCTGACAGCAACGAGATGAAGTATAAGTCTAGTATGAATTTTGCTTCGTTTTCAAGCTGGTATTTGAGCTCGCGGTGGTCTCGGTGTTCGTCACACAACAAGACGCTATCTGAATCTAGAGATTCCTAACATTTCAGCACAGCTACTTAGCGCCAAGCTTCTCTGAGATAATTGAATTGTTCTTCTTTGTACATAATACCCCTTCTGGGACTAATCGTAATATGTACTTAAAGCTCTAACAACACCATTTATAAAGTGAGTAACTCTGAAAGTACCGCCAGCTGGGTTTCCAAAATTACCCATTAAACAAATGATGTTCGAAAACTACATGACTAGCGTGGGTAGCAATCCTCCAAATCGAGGCAAAAAAGAGCAAGTCGCAACGGAAAGAGCAAGTACTAAAAATCAAGAAGAGCAGATAACAAACGCATACGCCACGCCAGTCGTACAAAATATCTACCATTCCAGACATCAATCCCTAGACTCAGAAGTACAAAACCAATGAATACTGCAGATCAGTATACAACGCAGAGAAACGCTGAGTGAACATAAATAAGAATGATAAAGAGAGAACAAATTGAAGGCGCTTTTTACTTCCTCTGGTTGAAAGGGAAGCCGCCGGGGGGACCATAGCGAGAAGAGCTAAGTCCAGGGGAGCCAAAACCAGTAGGTCCATTGGGAGGTCTGCCGTAGCCGTTGTTCTGTTGTCTACCCTGGGGCATATTTGGCTGGGGTGTATGTGGGTGACCACCAGCCGATCGATATACCCCTTGGAGCGTTGCATTCATTTGTGAGTGCATGGCTGTCATATAAGCCATGAACGCCGGTGCTAGCTGATCTTCAGGGGTCTCGGAAATGGCCTTTTGGTAGAACTCGTTGGTGTGCAGGTTGTTGAATTTTTGTTTCCGGTAAAATTCAATCATCACTGCCCTTTCTTCGTCTGCCCTTCTCACAGCACTCTTAAGGGTGTCAATCTCGGCAGCCCGGTCGAGTTTTTCGCGTTCCAGAACATTGACCTTTTCTTGGAGACAGTCCAAACGGTGGCAGAGAGTTATGACATTGCTGCCGTAGGCGTGAACAAAGCGATCTACGCATGTGGCATGGTCGGCTTGTTCCTTGTAAAGAGTTGTGGAAAGTTCCCCGACGTGTTCTCGAAGAGAGTGCTGGTCGCGCACCACACTCTCAAAGCTCCGTACCATTTTCTTCACGTCCTCATCTTGCTGAGTGAAGACACGAGAGACACTAAGTATTCCCTTCTCAATCCCCGAGATCTGAGTCTTTGCGTCGTCAAGTGATGCGGTGAGAGCCTCCAAATCCAGATTGAAGCGATCTTTGGCTTCACCGAGGGCCTTGATCAGTATAGTCTGGCCCCATGCCTTGGCTTCACATCTCCGCAGCCTCTTCATGGCTGCTTCGTGAGAACCATGGAACTCTTGATGAATGTAATTCCAACCGAATGTCAGAAATGACTCCAGGAGGGTGAGCATGGCTAGGGATAGCCAGAAGTAAATCGCGTACGGGTGTTCGGAGGCCGCTTTCTCGAAAATAGATTCGCTGATGGAGTTAGCTGATGAAAGTGGTGATATTTTGCATACAATATATACATACCCATCAGTTTGGGATATCTCCACAAAAAGGCTCAAGGCATACTGGAGAGGTGTGAAGGTGGTGTAGTAAGTCATGACGAGCAGTGTGTGAACCAGGCCCATGATGAGGTCCGAAGCCAGTGAGTTGAGATAATTTGGGATATCTCGGATGGCGTTGGAGATGGTCCCATCCCCAGATTCGATCGTTGGATCGTATACAGTCTCGGTTGGGATGAGTTGCTCCCCGGGAGCAACATCGACAGTTGGGGTCGGGTAGGTAACTGGTATGATCTCCGGCGGAGCGAAGCCAACCACGCTGTCAAGGGCGTGTACTGAGACTCCATGTGCGACAGAATGTTCATGGCTAGTTTTATAGCCATTCGCGAGCTCGAATTTCGCGATATTCAAATGTTGAGAGCGGAGGAGGGGGTCTGACATCATTCCAGTTGCCCTCAATACGGCAATGACCAGTACTGCGATGGGTGACATGATTATGGTTGATTGTATGGGAAATCAATCGACGGCTGAGTGTGTGAAGGTTTGGTTGATACTTGAATGTATAGAGAGTTGATTGATGCTTGAGTGTATTGAAAATAGGCTGATGATCGAATGTAATGAGAATAGCGTAATGGTTGGGTACTGTGTTGAGAGAGAAGTTGTAACTGAGGGAAATGTAGCTATATTAATAGTGCATGGAAAGTGTGCCAAGGGCAGGTTACCAGGAGGTGTTCACTGGTTGCAATTTGGGTGAAAGTGAAAGCTGCAGTAAACTCCTGCATATGACGCCAGGCAATGCGCTGCCAGTTGCCTGGGGAGTGAAAAGACAATGCTCCACTCGCTACTTCGGGTGTGAAAAGCCAATATTTTGCAAGCTAGCTGGTAGGTCAAAGTGAATGAATTGTTCACATGATATTTTGCTTGGCCCCTTATCCTCCCAAATCGGCAAGGTGAATGAAAGGAAACTCAGAAATGTCGTCATTTTAGGCAGTTACTTGACCTCCGGCAGGTGCATCTCTCTCAGCATCAGAGCCACTTTCTGTAAGCCTTTACATTCTGTTGTCATTCTGATATTGATTGGCTCAGTCCGCACGTAAAGCATGATCGCTTTTTGCAGCCAGCCGGTACAACACCCCCAGCGTCACAGTGGCTTTCTGCAAATACTTACTTCCGATTGTTGTGATGTAATTCCTCAAATTACTCCAAGTGTTTAGGAAAAATATCGTCTAAAGCCATGAAATCAAACAGCGTATGCCCTTTTCGACAATGGTTTAACCACTAATAGATGGTTGACGATGGTGTGGGCGTCGCTCCTGACGTTGTAGATACATAATCGCAACACAACAGCGCTAACGATAGTGTGATAAGCCTCAAGAATGATGAATATGGGTATTGTGATTATACTAGATGATTTAGGAAGACATCTAGATAATAGGCGGTGGCAGTGGTTCGAGTTGGGAGGATTAACATCGTGATCACAGCCTGTCGGCGGTGCTGAAGAGAGGTGGATCTATTTCTCTATTACTCTTCCTACTCACTACTCCAGCTGCAGCCAGTGAGAGTACGTAGTAAACAGTCTTAGAGCCAACCAAATCGCATTTCTTCCTGTACAACCCCCCCGTCCCTCTCTGAACTGTTTGCAATATGCAACTAAAGCTACAAATACATGATGGTGTCGCTTGCCGAGTTTACACTCATATCATATCGTAATAGTTGGTGTTCAAAAACTTCTGATATTTGTCTCTATCTTTTGTTGGGGAAGCGATGTAGTATAGACCCATTGGCAAGATTTTGCGAGTCGACCAAACGGATCGAGTCATCCACCCTACCCTCGAAACAGTAACTCAAAATGATTTTTTATACCGATGTAAAACCATTACAAACTTCATCGGGAACTTGTTGTAAGTAAATCCGGAACACGTAAACCAATGATTGATGGAGTAAGTGAGTTTTCCGCTCGGCCAATGGTTGATCCTCGGAGAAACAAGGGAGGCGATGAAAGCGCTATAAAACCCTTGTTAGTGACACACTGTGGCTAGTTATGAAGCACTTAAGTATGGATTCATATCCGAATCATGCACCGAAAAAGGCCTACTTCGAAACACATACCACCCGGGCTCTTCTATTAAGCAACGACCTCAAACCTTAGTCTTGCGCGTCAATTTTCGACGAAGCTACATGCTCTCCACTTCTATAGAAGTGCATCTCTTTACAAAACAAAACTTTTGCCATCATGTCCTCGCAATAATGAATACATTCTCATACGCCGTGTGAAAGGAAATCATTACCCTAGTAACCTGGAGGTCCGCCCAAGTCCAGCCGAACCCTGCCTGAAAAAGAAAACACCAACCAACACCTTGCAAAAAAGAATAAAAAAACACAACCAGAACACAACAAAGAAAACTGTGACTACCAAACCTCCAAAACAACATACCAGCGAATGACGCTTCCGACCAAAAACGCCCAGCTTCCGACCATGGCTGCAATCGCAGCCCGGATCTCACCCCTTTGCACAGAGGTCTCTTTCTGAAACAAAAAGATTCCCGCCATCATGAATGCGAAACCTCCAATTGTGTTCAAGAAAGCGCTTACCCAATCAGGGTCCGTGATCTTGGGTTTGTACCAACGCTCCTGTTCTGAAAACGCCAGCATGGCATTGCCCACGAAAAACAACATTCCATGGACGACCTGAGGCCCAAAAACAATGGAAGAGAAGTACGGACTTTGTTCGTCCACCACGCCAGGGAAATCCACAATGCCACCGAACATGAAGATGACGCCGCCAAAGAGGACGATAAGACCTGCTTGGAATGCCAAGCTGTTAACTGTGAGATCCAACAGTTTAGTCCGGGAGGGGATCCAGCGGAACTGTGGTGTGCCAACAAGAGCAGGTCGGTAGATAACTTTGTTCGGGTTGGACTTGGTGGCTCCGATTTGGCCACTGTCGGCATTGAGGGCGCCGAAAGTGTCGAAGACACCGGCGATGAAGAAGAGGGTTGAGCCGATGAGAATTGTGAGTGGGACTGCGACAATATTCTCCCCACTTTGAGCAAAGGAAGAGGAAGGATAGAGGCGGGGTAGTAGGTCGAAGAAGGCGTTGATTACGAGGTCGATGGAGCCAAGGAGGAAGATAATTGCGACGAGATAAATGGGGTCGCGGTAGGGAAAGACAGTGACCATTTTCTTTAGTCGCACTCTTATCGAGCTGGATTCTTCCCATTCCATAACGGAGAGGCTATCGGTCGAGTCAAGGAACTTTTCCTCGATGTATATCTCTTTCATATCCGCATCCTTCTCCAAATCGAAGACAGCGGGTGCAGCAGCTCGCTCCGATTCACACTTTTGACGGTGCTCTATATGATCAACATGAACGAAATCTCTTAGTTTGTTTTCGTGAGCAGAGCGTGGTCGCAGTGCTATAACCGGATGACCGATGATGCTCACCCGCGCCTGGCGAATGTATGACGCCCGTACTGTGGCAGAGGCGTTCATTGTAAGTTACCCACAATTTTGTGCAAAGATAAAAAAATATTATAACAATACACCGAGGAAGTGAAGTGGGAAATGTGGGAAGAGGGAAAGGGGAAAAGCGGGTACAAATGAGTGACTATAGCTGCGAGCAGCGGAAAAAGCGATTGTTATGGCCCTCCCTTCACTCCAGCTGTGCTGAGGCACCAGCACGGCTTTAAACCGGAACGCTCACACGTCCGTCACATTGACTCAACGCTGTCAGGTAATTGTATTTACTTTGCCAAGGTCTTGGATCGCAGACGCCCAAGACCACAGACGTGTCGGACCCACGAGCTTCGTCATACTCCTGACGAACCAGAGGAAGTTGGCGCCTCCACAAGCTTTTTGCAAGCATTATGTTTCGTTTGTTATTCGCCTTGAGTGGATCCTGATTAGCGCAGCATGGTCCCGGATCTCATCATTTCCGCCCGAGGTAAGGCGCCAGTTCTGATCGACGGGGATCCTAGCGTTTCAGTATTTGAACAGGGTATGCGCGTCCCAAATTGGCGACAAACTAGGTGGCGGTGCATCTAAAGGGACAGAGATGGACGGGAGCCGCCGTCCGGATTGGACCTACGAAACGAGCCTGAAGCGTTAGCGCGCTGCTGGATGCGGCTCAAGAGGCTTGCAAAACGAACAGTTGATAAGCTCAGCCACATATACTTTTTCTTCTCGTATCACATATTTCATGTGAATGCACGGCCACTGGATCATTCAACTCATCGGTCTTGCGCTTGGGTCTGTCCTACGTCTGCCCGGGCGCCAAGTTCACAGCCAAGGAAGCCCTAGCGATGCGTGCAGCCCGACAATCTTACAATGGGTGCACAGGCAGTGAATTGATAATGATGAGGCCCAATCAAGATGAGGCGTACAGGGCAACACTGCAACTAATGTTATGGACGTTGATGATAAGTGTGTGTTTCTGAAACCGGAAAAGAACAGCTAAGCTCGTCGTCGATCAATAATCACACCGAAGTTATCGTGCGATACGCGTAGAACTTACGAGAAAGGGGCTGTCGATCATGATGGTCGGACACAGTGTGATCTACTATGTAAACACGTAATACGTAAACCCTCTAGTTCGAGGTGGTCAAACGTTTCCAGTAATCAGTCAAGCTACTGAGCATTGCGCAATCATGGATCATGTGTGTTTGATCTTTGCTTGAGGTGGTTCACACTGTTGTTGCACATCCCACTAAATATACACTCTGGATTTGCACTCATATTCACATACTTACATTGCAGGTCGAAAGCGAAGATCTCTCGTCAGCTGCCCGTCCCACCAGTTGAGAGTATGGCTATAGCCTTTGCCATAGGAGCCCAATCCCGCTCCGCTGACAAGATTTTGGGCGGAATCTCACGTTCGGCCCAATTGACCAAAGCATTAAGCCGAGCGCCACGTCGAGCTCCGGGCCCGCTCCCTTTCCGCGACCCTTTATACCTAGAGCAAGAAAGAGGCGGAAATGCCTGTCCGGCTCGTCCGCACTCCCCGTAATGCTCTCCGCCTTCTGAAGAGGGTCTATAGTATTCTGTGTGATATTTATTGGTCCTCAAGGCTGAACATAGTTATTGACCAGGTACCTGAGTCATGCAAGGCAAAAAAACCTGGGCCATCAGAATACAAAGGGCCGCCGTAAGTACGAACTCATGGTTTCCTCATGGATACGGGCAAAGTGGTAGCTTGAGTTCTTGAAAAATTCATTCGCCCAAATATGGGCAAGGTATATGACACGGCTTAGCCCACATCTTTAGACATAGTTATAAGTACTTTCTGTGTAGGTCGTATTGACGCCTTACGCAAGGTCAGCAGTCGCACCCGAACCTCGTCACCACTTCGGTCCTTGATAGGCATCGGTGATAAGATTGGGTATTCCATCTGTGAAATATACAGGTGTGCCGGGGATGTGAGTGAGCACTTGCTCACCTACAAGAGTCGCAGGGTCAGACTTACGACGTACATGACTCTGCGACTTCAGGAATACCATTTCACGTGTGATCCAATGTATCGCAACACTCATTGATCTTCTTCCTAGAGAATTTCAGTAGTCTTCTGTCGAGCAGAGAGTACAATATGTGTGATGATGTTTCTCTCCGCTGTTTTTTCAATGTGCAGTTTGCTTGAAGTGCTCAGAATACACATGTGCTGACTTCTTGATAGCCACCCTCGGCCAAGCCAGCAGCCCAACCATCCCTCAACGCCTCATCATGGGTAAAATGGCCAAAAAATGGCAGGCCAGAAACATGATTTTCGGTGCTACGAGTTGGCATCGATGGATGTCACCACCAGTCACGAGATATCTGGGAGACAAGACGTGTCGCCAAACTGCTAACTTTCTTAGACATTGTCAATGATGTCTTGGTGTCGTGTTTGAAATATGAATACACTTGGTGCCTCAGGAAAGTCTAAGAGAAGCCATAACTTTAATGAAGGAGGTGAAACAGATAGAGGACTCTAGGGTATGACACGTCTGCCACTGCGCTTGGCTGCATGTCCTCCCCGCAGCCATGATTTGGCAATCTGGTTGTTATTTAGCTGGCGTGGGTACATTTGTCGAAGTAATTAAAGTCTAAACGGAATAGATCCCCCAACGCAGTTTCAGCGGAGCTCGACAAAGTTGCGGTAGCAAGGTGACTACTGGTTCAAAGGTCGTCACTACCAATCCCACGACCCCATCGGTTTCCGAATGCGCCTAAGTACATCGTAGTACCGACTTCTCGCTGCAGTCCTTCATACGACGATCAATGCCGTCTCTCCTTTCATCTGGCCATGTCCAAATGGACGCATACGCTGGGTTTCTTCTACTCATCAAACTTTTACATCAATCGCTTCAGAGATAGCAGCAGCTGTCAGCGTCGTTACTGGGTAAATACAAGAATAGGTACCTTGTTCACTCCCAACACGACCGCGCCTATCAGGAGAGGCCGGGACGTTGATCCTTCCGCTCCGTGGCCAAGAAATTCGAAATTGCCGGAGCGGGATGGGTCTGCAGTCAGATCTAAGAAAAGATTCCTTGCAAGTTACTTGTTTCCCGGTCGACCACACACACCATCTCGAATGCACGAACTGAATCTGGTTCCATGTCGCGTCCACCCTTTTACCCGGAAAGTCGCGTTGTGGTGATGATATCGCAGCCAACTGCCGCAGTCAGCAACGAGCCATGGAACTCTTCGCCTTGGCAAGATGAGAATCCATCTAACCCGCGGGTGTCTAGGCCTCATGTTCACCCAGCAGACAGGATACATCGAGGTTCATGCAATTCGGCGTTATGCGTATATACCGTTCCCGTCTGTCAGTGCGCTGTCCAGAGCGGGTGAGGCAGAAAGGCGCCGTGCCCTCATGCGCGAACCCGGTCGATATGTCAGCCGCCCCATCCCTTAACGGCATAGGCAAAGCACAGCGAGCGCCTAATGGCCAAGATTAGCTGCGTGGCGAAGTACTTTCTACCCACTAATGCACTTATCGTTACACTACAGAACAAACCATCTGGTAAAGTGGTTTGGTTCGCGGGTATTGCGATCAAGTGCATCTTGTGGTTGTTTTCCAACACGCGTCTCATGGGGCAGAAAACACTGCCGAACAGGCATCGACCGTATATTCTCGGATCACTAGCCTATTGTGATGGTACTGTTTTTGGTCCCTGGACCTGTTGCAGGTGAAGCGCTCGATGCTTGGTCGCCTTAGACAAGTGTTGTCCATATCATGAAGATATCTCCAATGTCTTTCCAAATCACCAAGGAGGGTGGCCCTGCGAAATCTCTAATCCACTTAGTTTCATAATGATACGACAGGTTGCCATCTTCCTGGAATTTTCATAATCATCCTTTCTTTACTGCTTCTCTTTCACAGATATCCTCATTGTCCTTTGGTGTTTTTTGCTTTCGATCAACAAAAAATTTCATTTCCTTTAAGAGCTACGATGGCGACCATTCAGGGTCATATGGATGCTATCAAGCTGGTCTCATGGACTCTCGCAGCCGCTGTGGTGGTTGTTCTCATTGTACGGCAGATTGCGAAAACAATTGTTTTCCGAAAGGTTGGCCTGGACGATAGTTTTATTCTCATAGCATCTGTAAGTGGGCCTGGGAACTACCAAACTTCATCAGAGGACTAATGAAGCCAGATATTCGCCATCAGCTTATCTGCTACTGTGCTCATCCTGACAGCCAATGGTCGCGCTACGTCCTTCTCCTTAACTTTTTCGCAGGCAGACATTCTTTCCAAGGGATACTATACATCCGAATTGTTTTATGTATCTGGTGTATGCTTTTCCAAGCTCTCTATTCTGGTTCTCTTCTTCAATATTGTAGCGAGTCGACAGTTCCTTCGCCGTATAGTACTCGCTCTTGGCATCTTCATCTCCACCTGGACTTTAGTGTCTTTGGTAACCGTCGCATTCCAATGCGAACTTCCGCGTCCATGGAAAACAACCAGTCCTCATTGTCTCAATTTTGTGAGTGGAGCATCGAAGCAATCGTGCGTATAAAATATAGATACTGATTGTCATAGCGCATTTTCTGGGTTATCTATTGTGCATTCGATGTACTGACTGAGATCGCTCTGGTTACAATTCCCATAAACATAGTGGCGTCTCTTCAGATGCCCTTCTGCCGTAAGATGGCAGTCGTCTCGTGTTTTTCTCCTCGTCTTCTTGTTATTTCAGGGACGATCGTTCGAACTATCTGGGTCTATCCTACCATACCACAGCAACACGACCACCATCGAATTTGGGAACCATTGGTCGCAATGCAGGTTCACTTGTGTATGAGTATCATCACTGCGAGCATTCCATTCATGGTACCTTACTGTAGGGAACTTAGTCATAGATTGCAAGGACCTACTTCCACGAGATCCTCGATGCATCTACAGGACAAAAAGGTTGGTCATCCGACATCAATTTGGTTTCGGAGACATTTAAAGAACAAGGATACTGTTATGCGAAATTCGGATCCGGAAGGCGCTGCTCACTATGAACTTGTACCAAGAGTCTCACCTGGTATTCCCTTCGCAAGGTCGACAAGCCCTATGGCGAGCGGAGCACTACAAATGTCGCCAAAACAAAAATCGAGTGTAAAGGGTCTCAATATACATATCCCTCATCGTAGTTCTCTAGGGAGGCGAAGCCACGAGCTTGTAAGCTCACGAACGCAAAGCTCAGGAATGTTGTCTCCATGGAGCACATCACCGCAAGCGCTACTCACGCATTCCTTCGTGCCCTCAAGAAAGGCCCCTATTCCACCTCCAAAAACACCTCGTCTCGGCCCCCTTACACCAACTTCCTTTTACTCGGACGACTCCGATACCCCACCTTCAACTGCGTCACGTAACGAACGAACCTTGCTCTCCAGACATGAACAATCAGGGACCACATTTACACCGCCCCAGGCGTCACCATATCTGTCACCGGGAACTTCAGTATTTAGTGATAAAAATTCCGTGACAGGTCACAACACTGCTTCGCCTAAAAGGCTTTTCTGCGGTCACCCCTCCCAACGCATCCAACTCCCCAAATTCAGTTCAAGCCCACGCCTACAAACCCCTCCATTCTCAACATTCAATCACAGCAAAGTGCGGCCAAAATCTATCGAGGACCTTGTTTCTCCCATGGGCACAGCTATCAGCGGCTGGTTCAACAGTCCAGATTCAGAACGCCCACATCAGTTCTCACCACTGTCCCCTTCGCGTGCACGAGACTCATCGAGCGAGCATGCTTTCTCGCCCGTAGATTCGCCCTACATGCCGACGTATCCGCTTTTCAGCCATACGCGCTCTCCCGCTAGGACGAACGTTTTCCTCAATGAGCCTTCTCCGTCCCACAGTCTTTACTATGCGTCGCTCGCTCCAGAGAATGGACGCATGCCTCCAGTTCGCGATGTGAGAAGTAGTCCGCGCGTAATTGTACGCGATGCCTTGTAATTCTACGCTTGTTCAGCTTGTATCTCAGTGTTTTCTTTTTTCATTCATTAGGCGTTGTTTTTCAATTGGTGGGGGCGCAGCATTTGGGTCAGGGCATTATGAGTGGTGTACGTTGGGTTTCTTTGAATGCTTTCGCATTCGTATCTGTACAACATGTGTCTTTTTATCCTGTGTTTGGCGAGACCAAAGCCAAAAAAGCCAGCTTTTGCCTCTTTTATAAACTTACCTCCTCCTGTGAGACGTCGTTTTCCAAGACCTTTCGCAAGTAATTGAATGCTGTTATGGGGTAGGTTATATACCTACCCTATTTGAGCCTAAACAAAAGAACAGGTACTATAAGTAGACACAAGACCTCCGCTACTTTACATAGACCTAAGCAATACAATAACCTTTGGCTCCTTACAGTATCCTGCTAGGCCTAGCCAACAACAAATGCCAGTGTTACGAGGAGTTCTAAGACATGTTTTCCCACTTCTTGCGACGAATTCCAATCCAATTACTGCTGTGAGATCGAACAGCATACTAAATGCATAAGGGAATGATTAGTTTGGTACTCCTCCAAATCATCGCTGCTAATGTATTTAACTTAACCTAAACAATGCTTATCACGTACATACAATCTTGTAGAAGCTTCCTTAGAAGAGAATAATCTTGTTCATTTAGAGGTGCTTAGAATCGCGCTTAGAACCCAAAAAGATGTACGCGGGCTACAACATTCACCACTGATGTTACCGTGTTGCACCATCTCAGCACAAAATTCGCGCCCCACATCATTGAACTAAGTTATTAAAGTAAAGAACCTACATAGGCTGCTCAACGGAATTGAAAACGTCCTTGATGCGGTACATTTCTCAAAGATCGTACATGTGTGGTTTTAGCTCCCACTTTCCATTCGGGTAGGGGCAATGAAAGGTGACGATGCTTTACCAGATAATGACATTTGACGGTACATCTTTAAAATTGAATTCCTAATGATACTAACAGTAAGTCTCCTAATATTTTTAGCACTCCGTTTAGTCGTGACTGCATTCTAAAGTCTAGTCGTCTGTTTATCTACAGAAGTAGCGCAAAGATTTCTGCCACTGATG